GTATATGTTTATCTTCCTCACTAGACTGAGAGCCCATGTGGGACAAGGGACCCTGCTGTCTTTTTTGTCTTCAGAGTCTCAGAGTTTAGTGTGATGCCTGGTGAAGAGTTTTACAGATGCTATTTTCTCTTGGTTTCTTTTTTGTCTTTGAGAGCTCCTCTGTCTCTGTTTTTATGTTTTTCCCTATTGGTCTTTGTTCTTGTTCATCCAGCCCTGTCCCCTCGCCTCAGCCCGGCCTGGGTACAGGCCACCCTCCTCTGTCCATTTCTCCCACAGACAGTGTACAGTGCCCTGGGCCTGAGGGACGCCTGCCGCTCCCTACCCCAGTCCATTCAGCTCTTCCGGGACATTGCCCAAGAGTTCTCAGATGACCTGCACCACATTGCCAGCCTCATTGGGAAAGTGGTGAGTGGAAGGAAAGAGGCAGATCTCCTGGGAAACTAGGGGGGAGAGATGGATCTAAATAATGGAGAGCAATGGGTGGGAGCTCTGGGGAATATGGTGTGGAAAACGAGGATGCATGGGAGACACTGAGGTCAGCTGGATGGCCAGAAGATGGGATGGCAGACATCAGGGGTGTGGTGGAGGCCTAGAGGGTCAGGGTTAAAGTCAGGACTGAAGGGCAAGTTGGGGCCCAGGTAGAGGTGAGGAATAGGACGAGATCATGCTGGATGGAAAGAACCTGGATTTCTTGTCTCCTCAGGTGGACTTCGAGGGCAGCCTTGCTGAAAATCGCTTCACAGTCCTCCCCAACATAGATCCTGAAATTGATGAGAGTGAGTGTTAGGTGTACGGATGGGCCCCTGAGCCCTGAAACATGAACCTGCCTTGCGATGGGGTACTGTTCTCAGCAGGCGACCCCTGCAAGTAGGGATGATCATTGCAACCAGGGCGGGAGCCTTACTTTTGATATCCACGTGTCTTCCACGCTCTTAGAAAAACGAAGACTGATGGGACTTCCCAGTTTCCTCACTGAGGTGGCTCGGAAGGAGCTGGAGAATCTGGACTCCCGGATTCCTTCATGCAGTGTCATCTACATCCCTCTGGTGAGGGCAGGAGGCAGGGGTGGTGCACTCCCTGGGGGTGTTAGGGAGACATGAGGCTTAGGAAGGACACAATTGATAGATAAGAAAACTCCTGGAAAAATCAGAAGAACATGAACACTTTTTGGCGCTTAGGACCCTGAGGGAAACATTTGGGGGACACAGGGGACTCTGGCTACTTATAAAGAAAGTGCCCAGAGCATCACTCCTTGCTTTATCTCTTCTTTACTCTCCCCAGATCGGCTTCCTTCTTTCTATTCCCCGCCTGCCTTCCATGGTGGAGACCAGTGACTTTGAGATTGAAGGTCTGGACTTCATGGTGAGACCCTTGACCTCTGTGGGGGGCAATAAGGAAAGGCAATCAGCAGCTGAGGGAGGGCATTTCCCCATCAGCTCTGCCCAGTGTGGGATCCCTCTTTCATTGTTGTATCTTTACCAGCTCTGAGACAAAGGAGAAAGAAATCAAGGCCAGGGCTGGGGTGGGGTGAGAGAGGATGAGGATGGAGAGATGCAAAGCCCATAGCTTTGAACCCTTGTACCCAGTTCCTCTCAGAGGAGAAGCTGCACTATCGAAGTGCTCGAACCAAGGAGCTGGACGCACTGCTGGGGGACCTGCACTGTGACATCCGGGGTGAGGAGAAGCGAGTGGCTGGAGCGGACTGGGCAGCGTGGAGGTGATTCTGATAGGCTCCTTTCATTCCTGCTATTCCCTCTCTCTCTCTTTGACTCTGCCTTTTCTGAGTATCTCTGGGATTTCAGATGGTTTCTAGGTTCATCTGCTGGCTTCTTTGTCTCTCCTTTGCTCTCCCCTGGAGCTGACACCAGCTCCTTCCCTCCGCTGCCCCCAGACCAGGAGACCCTGCTGATGCACCAGCTGCAATGCCAGGTGCTGGCACGGGCAGCCATCTTGACCCGGGTGTTGGACCTTGCCTCCCGCCTGGACGTCCTGTTGGCTCTTGCCAGTGCCGCCCGGGACTACGGCTACTCAAGACCCCGTTACTCCCCACAGCTTCTCGGGGTACGAATCCAGAATGGCAGGTGAGGACAGAAATGGGTGGAGGAATAGACACAGGGCGGGGGGTCCAAAAGCCCCATCTTCTGGATCCACAGGCCACATGCAAGGAACTTTCCACCGGCTACAGGCATCCGCTGATGGAACTCTGTGCCCGAACCTTCGTTCCCAACTCTGCAGAGTGCGGGGGGTACACAGGGAGGGTCAAAGTCATCACTGGACCCAACTCCTCAGGGAAGAGCATATACCTCAAACAGGTAGACGAATCTCTGCATTCTCTTCTCCATCATCTCCACCCCCCACCTGCCAGTCAACCAAGGTTCCCACAGCTCTTCTCCACTTTGCTCTGACCCCACATATCATGAAAAGACTCACACCTGCTGTCCCTCTCCCTTCCATGTTCTCATTCTCTACCTGAGGGAGGGCTGTGTGCTAATGACCATCCTCTGACCTGAATCCTCCTCTCCCACCTCTGAGGAGGTCCACACGGTTCCTAATCATGCCTCTGCCCACTTCCTGCCCCTTTTCACTTACTCTAAAGTGAGCCGAAGGGGCTGTTAAACTGTGTCCCTCTATCTTGATCTATCATTCTCCCCTGAGATTAGCCTCACCTTCACCTCAGCCCATACCACCAGGCACTGTACCTGTCTCCTTCCCTTATTCAGGTAGGCTTGATCACATTCATGGCCCTGGTGGGCAGCTTTGTGCCGGCAGAGGAAGCTGAAATCGGGGCAGTAGACGCCATCTTCACCCGAATTCACAGCTGTGAATCCATCTCCCTTGGCCTTTCCACCTTCATGATCGACCTCAACCAGGTTAAGAGGAGGCAGGGTTGGGGGAGGGGGTAATGGGGAAGGAACCCTAGCCCTGAAAAATGGTCAGAACAGGAAAAGCTTTCCTTCTGCTCCCTGTTCTCTATGCTAGGGGCAGGGAGCACCCAATTCAGAAACCAGAAGAATCAACACCATGAACCTTTGCCAGTCCCTGGCTTTGTGTGATGCGCTGTTGTCAGTGAAAGGATGAACAAAACATGGGTCTTGCCATTAAAGAACTTGCAGTTCAGTAGGGTGGACACGTATTCAAGCAGCTTTACTCGCAGGCACACTGGTCAGTGCCAGGCCTCGAATGTTTATGAAACTCTCCCTTATCCACCGGGTGCCCAGCAGGTGGCGAAAGCGGTGAACAATGCCACTGAGCGCTCGCTGGTCCTTGTGGATGAATTTGGAAAGGGAACCAACACGGTAAGGAACTAAGGAGAGGAAAATGGAGGGCGGAGGAGCAGGAGGGCGGGACTGGGCCTCTGGAAAAGAATAGGGGTGTGGGCATGAGAGGGGAAGGCCCGGCAGGAAGAGGGGGCACACGGGGCCCTGTGGCTCCACACCTTCACCCTGCGCTATCCTACGCTCCTCGCAGGTGGATGGGCTTGCGCTTCTGGCTGCCGTGATCCGACACTGGCTGGCACTCGGACCCACGTGTCCCAATGTCTTTGTGGCCACCAACTTTCTGAGCCTTGTTCAGCTGCAGCTGCTGCCGCAGGGGCCGCTTGTGCAGTACTTGGTGAGGAGACCTACCCAGCTCCCCAGGGCTGAGCATTTCCCAGAGCTGGGTACTGGCTCCTGTGTCAGAACAGGGACCATGTCCCTTCCCGTTTCTTACTCTCAACCGCGACTGACCAAGGGTATTGGGGCAGGAAGCAGAATGACTGATGAACATTGCCCCCTTTTATTCTCTTTGAAGACCATGGAGACCTGTGAGGATGGGAACGACCTTGTCTTCTTCTATCAAGTTTGCGAAGGTGTTGCCCGTGCCAGCCACGCCTCCCACACAGCTGCGCAGGCTGGGCTTCCTGAGAAACTCATTGCTCGCGGCAAGCAGGTGGGGCCCAGAGAGCAACCACCTCCATTCATTGTCCCTGCTTCTCTCAGGGATTTCTGGGCCCATGGAATTTCTGACCCATACTTTCTCTTCTCTTACCCAATACCCAACCCCATCCCTACCCCTTCCTCCTTGGTCCCAGGTTTCGGACTTGATCCGCAGTGGAAAGCCCATCAAACCTGTCAAAGAGCTGCTAAAGGAGAAGCAAATGGAAAAGTGAGTGCAGGCCCTGGGTCCTTGTTCTCAGGGTCCATGTTCTGCAGCTCCTCTGCCCCCTCCAGGGACTCAGCCTCTTTGCCCTTTAATGATTCACAGTTTCTTCCTGAAATTCCTAAATTCTCAAGGTCATGGATTTCCTGTGCTGAATCCTCTCCCCTCTGCTCAGGGACTCTATTATCCATCCTCCCCCAAACCTCACTTCTTTTCTCTCCCTTCAGTTGCCAGACATTAGTAGATAAGTTTCTGAAACTGGATTTGGAAGATCCCAGCCTGGACCTGGACATTTTCATGAGTCAGGAGGTGCTGCCTGCTGCCACCACCATCCTCTGAGAGTCCTTCCTGGGCCCTCCTCCAGGTCCCAAACCCCTGAACGCTGCCAGGCCTCCTTGTTTCCTTACCTCCCTCAGACCCAGAGTTCTCAGTTTCCCTGGAAATTCTGTTTAATGTTAATAATAAAGCTTATTTTGGAGAAAGTTGTTGTTTTCTTAGACCAGCCAAAAAAAAGCGAAGCAAGTAGGAAAGAGATGAAACAGGAAGCAGCAGTCTATAGAGGAACCTGCCTTGCCTCACTGTAAATACAGTATCACTGCTGGAGGGAGGCCTTGGGCTCTACCCGGGGGACTTTATGAGAACCAGCCACTGCAACAGGCCCTATAAAAACAGATGAGAGGGAAGACAGAAGTCCAAGATGTTCTTTTCCCTCAAAGTAGAAACACCCCGGCCTCAGACAGACCCAGCTGGAAGGGCTCTGAGAGGCTGAAAGACTAGGCAGGACCAGTACAAGGCTGGGGGAAAGGGAGGGCCCAGCCCTGCACCAGTGGGCGTGGCTCCACCCTTCCTACCTCAGAGCCATGGGGAGCCGGGGTCCTAGTGGGTGGCCCCTGGTGCAAGCCCCCTACACGGTTCTGTTGCTGCCACTGGAGACAAGTTGCCAAGACCCAGGGGCCCGGAGCTTCTTCCTCTGGGTGAGTATCAGTCCCACAAGAAATCCCGGGGAAGCCCATTTCCCTAGATCAGTCTCCTACAGTCCCTGTCAATTTTGAGGACTCACAGCTCCAGCCCCCTGGAGCTTTCGCTCGCCCTGCAGGTCCTCAGTGGCCAGTCTGGGGTCATGGTCAGTGACCAGACAGTGAATCCAACCACACAGTGAAGCCAAGCATGGCCTATCGCCCTACTATAGAGTGAGTCAGCCTTTGCTCCTTGCCTTTTCAGCTGCAGAGGATGCAGGCACTGGAGCGGGAGCAGGACGCCCTTTGGCAGGGGCTGGAGCTGCTGGAGCATAGCCAGGCCTGGTATGAGGGCCGTCTGAGGGAGGCTCAGCAACAGCAGCTGCACGTGGGGGCCCTTGGTGAGGTATGGGGCTGACCCAAGGGGTGGGGGGGCAGGGGTCGCAGGGATGGGTAAACACAGCCTGACACCATCCTGGAAAAGCAAGAGTTAATGGACAGGGATCAAGAATGGGAGGCAGCATTGTAATGACAGGATGCCACCAAGTGTTAGGTTGGTGTTCATAGTTGGGCCTAGAGGAGGCTGATCGGCATTCTATTCAGAGGGACACAATTTGGATCACTCCATGGAGCTGGGGGAGTGGCCTGGATTGTTCCAATAGAGCTGGGATGGGCAGGGAGGATCCATAAAGAATAGAGAAAGTGGGGACTATGCCATTTGAGGGGCTGAAGAACTGGACTATTACAGAGATGAAGTATAGAGTACTGGAATTGCCCACCTGCCTGTCAGGGAACTGGGATGAGGGGTCTGGATGGAGGAGAGGAATGGCCTGTGGTGACAGGAGAAGAGTGGCAGATGGAACTCAAGTTTTCACCATGTTGTTTGCCTCCAATTCCTCCTTTAGAATTTTCTAACGGATTTACACTTAGAGCCTGGTGGTCCCCAGTTAGCCCAGATTCAGAGAGTGAACATCTGCTTGCAGAATCTGCTTCAGGGGAAGGTGAGTTTATTGTTTTTAGTTTAGACTTTTGGGAAATGGGGATGAAGAAGGGACTTGAGGTCAGCACTGGTCTAACAAAACATCGCATTTCCCCCCAGTTCTTCCCACATTCCCCAAACAAAGCTAGTTCCTGCACCACCCAGGACTGGAAGGGAAGGCCAAGGAAACAGGACATGTGGTGGCAACAGGTAAGTGGTGGGGCAGGGGGTGGGCAGGAGCCCTGGCAAGCCATTCGAGGGAATGAGGAACACAGACATCCAGACTGTCTCTCTCCTCTTCTCCAGGAGATGTCAAGGCAGCAGAAAGGAGGCATTCAGCCAACAGGGGTGATGGCTCAGCCAGGCTGCCCCCATGGACGGAGGGGCCCTACCCGTGTCTAAAGGCTCCTTTGGTCCCCTCAGTCATGCCGGTGAGACTGAGATAATCCCCCGCCTCCTTATTCTGACTCAGCAACTAAATGGCTCTGGGTGGTAGGTCAGCTGAAATCCAAATATACTGGTGTAAAGTTTCTTCTCTGCTCCTGAAAACTTCCATTTTATCTTTTTTGGTATTTCATGCTCTCACTCTTCCCTATGCATGCATGCTCAGTTGCTTCAGTCATGTCCGACCCTTTGCCAGCCCACCAGGCTCCTCTGTCCATGGGGATTCTCCAGGCAAGAATACCTGAGTGGGTTGCCATGCCCTCCTCCAGGGAATCTTCCTGACCCAGGATCGAACCTGCGTTTCTTACATCTCCTGCATTGGTTCTTTACCACTAGCACCCACCTGGGAAGCCCCCCACTCTTTCCGATATGATGTACATAAGTGATCTTTCTCTGAAATCTCTCTGGGGAGAAGACATGTTTATTGGCATTGTCCTTCAATTTTAAATACAAAAATAAAATAGAAGCCTCTCCAGAATTTCAAAAATAAAATAGCACCTCCAGAATGTCAATAACACTTTGGGTAGGAGGTGGGGAACCCTCCTCCCCACTTCTAGTCTTAGACACTGCCCCACATATCTTCCCCTCCACTTGAGCTTGGGAGAGAGCATAAATTAGTGGAACAAAGATGCTGCAAAGAAAGAGAAAGCAACTTTTTTCAAAAATGAGTCTGTTTTTTTTTTTTTCTTTCCCCCACAAGGGTTAGGGAAAGTGCATTGTGGGAAATCCATCACTCTCTATCCCAGTCTTGGAAAGAAAGGCAAGTGGATGAGAAGGAAGACCTCTATCCCACCTGGAGAGGTAGAGGCCCCTCCTATCTTCTCACCAGTGGGCAAGATGGTGCACAGTGCTGGAGACCCTTACCTCCAGGGGCTGCTGTATCACCAGGGGCCCAGGCTGAGCAAAAGCAACATCCCCACAAATGTGGTCCACCAGGGGTTGCCCAGCAGCCCTCCCCAAGCCCCGCCCTGAGTCACGGAGGTGGAAAGATGGGAGGCAGGGCTGGAGGTGTTGAGGACCGAGTCAGTCGAGTAGGCGGGAGCAGGGAGCTGGTCCTGGGGAGAATTAGAGACTGTCAGGGTGGTTGCCTCCAGATTAATCCTGTACCACCTTCCCCTTACCCTGCCTATCCTGCAATTGAAAGTGGGGGCACTCACCTGTGGGGCGGGGGCCCGCACCAGGAGCCGGAGGAAGGCATGGGTCGGGGGCATCGTGCTGGCTTCTCCATCCTTTGCAGTCACCGTCACCATCACCGTGGAGTCGGAGGCGGCTGTGTCTGGTACCTCCAGCCACAGGCGCCCCCAGGCGGACTCGTTCTGTTCCAGGTGAACCCTGGGGAGTGGATGCCAACATCTGGCTTCAGCCACAGGCTTGAATAGCTGGGAGCCAAGGGGAGGTGGGGAGGGAAGCGAGGAATCTGAGCTCCCAACCCAAAGGGCCAGAGGAGCAGGTACCAGATCCCATACCCAGTCATAGAAAGATGGGACCAGAAGGGAGCAGGAGGTTTCAGGGGCTTCACCTGGAGAGGTTGGAGGTGAGGGCGAAACTGGGTTTGGCAGATGTCCTAAGATAGAGATCCTGAGGGCCTGAAAAGCTGGCAATGCGGAGGCTGAGCGGGGCCGTGGTGCCTGGCGCCAGGAAACCTGGGGGACCGCTGAGCTGCGGAGGAGGGCTGGTCGGGGAGGAGCAGGACCCATTCCCTCCAGCCCCAGCCGCACCTTCCTCGGCCTCTCACCTCCAGCAGGACTGGAACTACAGCACAGGGCTGGGGGGCAGCCCGGTGCAGGCCCCTCCCCGCTCCATCCTGGCCAACCAGCTCCAGAGAGAAGGGTACCGAGGTAGACAGAAGGGTGGGCGGTAGTGAGGCAGAGAAGAGACCTCGCTCTGGGGGTCCCCTGGGCTCCAGAGGCACCTGGCCCAGCTCGGCACCCTGCGGGACCCCTCGGAGGACCACGTGGGAAAAGTGCGGCAGAGGGCCTCCAGGGTTTCCTCTGGAGCCCAGCCCTGTCACTTCTACCAGCAGCTGGGTCTGGAGACCTGGACAGGGGAGGGGAGGGGAGAACAGAGATCTGCATGAGACTTGGAGACAGGGATAAAAATAGGAATGGCTTTGAATAGTGGTTAGCTCTGGGCCATGTGGATGGGGAAAAGGGGTTACCTCTAGAGGTTACTGATGGGCAGGGCCAGCAGCAAGTTCTGGGATGCTGGAAATGTTCCATAGTTTGAACTGAGTGATGGTTATTAATATATAAAATCTACCCAGCCTGTACACTTGAGTTTAGTGCACCTTATAAATGTTGTAACTCAATAAAAAGTTACATATATACACACAAGTTAGGGGTGGGGCTAGGTGTACCTGCAACTGGTTGAGTCAGGGGGTAGAGGCCAGGGTGGGGTCCATCCTCCATGGGGATCCCAAAGTGAAAGAGGAAGTCCAGGGAGGTCTGGGCTGAGGAAGGGCGAAGGCAGTCAGAGACCCTCCGGCGATGAAGGTGACTGATACTGCTCTCTGGTCTCCCCGTCCCTTTCCCAGGAATATCATCCTCCTTACCTTGCACTCTCACCCGGGGGGTACCCTTGGCTGTGACTTGGATCTCCCAGGTTCCTGACTGTGGAGGGTCATTCACGCTCATCATCCAGAACCTCCCAAAGCGGCGAGTGTGACCTAGAGGCCCCTCACCTTCCTCCTGGCCCTGGAAGACCCCTGGGTGGGTGTGGGGGGTAAGAGATTGGCACAGGAGAATTCCTTTTGCTTCGTACATTACCCCTCCTTCTTCAGTCTCTGTTCTTCCCACTGCCTTGAGACACACACAGGGAAGTACCTGCAGGGTTTCTGATCCAGAAACTGCTGACCTCCCCGTGGATCCGGACCGTGACCTTCTGGAGTAGTCCATCCACTCTGAACACAAGTGGCCTCTCAGCTACCACTACACGGGACTCCAGGGGAAGGGTCACCTTGAGGGGTTAGGACCGAAAAATGGGGGAGAAGATAAGACATGGGATGAGGTGGGAACAAAGGCAGGAAAGAGAAAGGTAGAGACAGAAAGAAATGAAGGAACACATGGAGAAGGGATCCCAGTGAGAGAGGAAGGAACAGAGGTGGAGCTATGGTCAATAACAAAGCTGGAGGCAAGGGATTAAAGATGAAGTAACCGCCTCCTGCCCCGCCCCGCCCCGCCCCCCATAAGAGATGGCAGGACTTCCCAGAGGAGCCTTGAGGACAAAATATTGGAGGTCAGGATTGGGAGTGGAGGTGGGGGGACAGGTAGTACTAATATGGAAGGAGCAGGATAGAAGGGGGAAGCCGTGGATCTCAGAGGGAGAGAAACTTCCTTCCCACCCTTCTGCCTGGAATGGCAACTCAGCAAAGGGAACCATTCCTTACGAGAAAGAGAAATGCAGTGTTGCCCATCCCCTTAGTTCTTAGCTGAGCCTCCACACGTACTCACCAGGTCAGCTATACTGTCCCCAGCAATGGCCGCCACATCCTGAATGTACTGGTCTTCGGTGAAAATCACTTCTCCTCCTGAGGCCAGGGCCACCGCTTCGTATGGCTCAAAACGCAGAGGGGACAAGACCTCACGCCGGGCCCGGCCCTGAGCCCTAGATGGGTCCTCAGTTACCAGGAACGTGACCTGTGTCCGGAAGAGAGGCCAGTACTTGAGGTTTCAACTTGCTATGTACCATTGTAACCAAGGATCTCCTGTGCTCAAGCTCTCTACAGAGCTGACCATTGGTGATAAATTCTGTCTGCCCTCTGGCTGCTACAGCATTAAGTGTAGGGCATCCCACTCTAGTATTGTTAAAGGGATTTGCAAATGTTACACTCATGATCCACTTCTCTCCCCTCCAAGCCAAGGCTGGTTTAACCACCCTAGTGTGAGTGTCATCCTTGTAATGAGAGTTGTCCTGGGGTTTCCCACATCCCTGGGTACCTAACATTGAGTCTCCCACCAGTTATGCTCACTCTGCAACGCCGTTCCTGCGTCAGAGATTCCACCCGGTTGGTGAGAAAGGCGTCCTTAGGGGAGGCATCAGTGAAGACAAAAATGTCTGAGAGTGGAGGTGTGTGCAGCAGAGCCAGCTGGCAGAAGAGAAAAAACTGGTGGTAAAAAATGGCAGCCTTCAGTGAAAAATAAATGTTTTAAAAATGGTGGCAGTAGGGGAATGGGTAGAGCAAGGGAGGGCAGAATAGAAGGCAGTATGGCCCTGAAATCTGGAATGAAACGAGTGAGACTAGGTTCTGAAGATGGAATGGAGGGTGGGGTCCCAGGGAAGCTCTAGATCCCTTGATAGTGGGGGCTGGAGAGGGGGTAGGGGGAGGGAAAGGGTGGGGAGAGCAGACCTCCAGGGCTGAGAGGCACATCTCTGGCTCATCTCCACCTCCCAAGGCATGCATCTCATTGAGCTGTTGCCAGAAGTGGTCAGGGTCACTTGTTGTAAAGACAGGGCCAAACCCTGGGGGATGAGATTGAGAGACTGAGGAGAAGGCTCCTCTCTTTCCTGCAAAGGGCCATCTCCCCAGTCAAGAGACCCTGCAGTGTTCCTCGAGTGGACATGTATTGAGATAACAATATTCTTTATATTTATACTGACAGGATAGGACAAGGCAGGGCTTAGCTACCTCTGGTGGGAAAGTGGACCTCATTTCCTCACAAAATGGTGGCACTTCCTGTGGTCTTGAGTGAGCCTTTTTTGGGTATATGTTTAAGTATAAAAACAACTGGTGAAGCAACATGGATGGACCTAGAGATTATCATACTAAGTGAAATAAGTCAAATGTCATTATGATATTCCACTTGTATGTGGAACCTAAAAAAATGATACAAATGAAGTTATTTACAAAACAGAAATAGATTCAAGGACATAAAAAACATATTTATGACTACCAAAGGGAAAGGGAGGGATAAATTAGGAGTTTGGGATTAACAGATATACACAACTATATATAAAATAGATAACCAACAAGGATCTACTGTATAGTACAGGGAACTAGATTCAGTATCTTATAATAACTTATAATGGGGAAGAACCTAAAAATGATATATACAACTGAATCACTTTGCTGTATATCTGAATCAACTATACTTGTCAACTACAAAAAAAACAAAACAAAACCTGGGTCCTCAGTTTCCTCACAGAAAAGCCAGAGAAATAATAGTGCTTACCTCAGAGAAGCCCACTGAGATGATTGAGTTGATTTTGTAAACTTCAGAGCAGTGTTTTGACACATAATAAGTGCTAAATTCTTAATTATTCATTTATTCATACCCTTATCAAATATGTGATAAGCTCCTGTTGAATGTCAGTCACTATGAGATTTATATAGGTGGATCAGACTCAAACCCACTCCTTAGGGAAGTTTCAGTCCAAATTTTATTTGATGATCATTTCAACCCTGGGAGATAGTCAGGATAAATACTGACCCATTTTATGGATGATGAAGTTGAGGAAAGAGAGGTTAAACAAACAGGCTAAGGACACACAGTAAGACTGGTCAACCCAGGTCAGATAATCTGATTTCTAAGTCAGTGGGGGAAGGAATACGATATAAGTAGCTGTCTCAGATATTTCACAGAGGCCTGGACACACCAACTTCCCCATCTTCATCCCAACCTCTGTCACAGGAAATGGAGAGAATTGAAAATGACTTATTAGGATGGACGCCTAACAACTCAGAGGCTGCCTGCCTAAGCACCCATCATGATTAAACTCCTATAGCAAATGCTGTCATATTGGAAACAGTAGAAGTGGCTGATAGTTCCCTATATGCATAGGGGTACCAATAAAGGAAAAGGATCATAGGAAGTGCCTCCATTCTATTATGGAAGTGAAGCCATGAAGCCCGCTTCCCTACCAGTGACATTACCTCTTGCCCTGGACTTGCTTCCACTCTGCTGGCCAGACCACAGTTACCTGGATCATGGAACGGCACCAGGACATAGTGGGTGGGCTCCATGGGGGTGCCCCGTCGCTGCTCCACAATATGACGGGCCTGGATCTTGGCAGCATTGATCTCTTCGCCCATACTGCCTGTGGTATCCAGGACGAAGCTCAGGCTGGAGGCTGGGGTGATGTCCAGCAGCCTGAGAAGCAGGCCAGAGATATGGTGCATGGCTGCACTTGTCCCCAGCCCCTGGTTTCTCAGCTCCAGAGTAACCTACCTATTAAGGAGCCCAGCTCCAGGCAGCCACTCACCTAGAGAAACCGCTGTCTCCCAGGCGGCTTCGTAGGAGGTTGAAGGCCTGGATGGAGGCCAGAAGGGCCAGTTTTGCAGCCTGGAGGTGCAGCATGTGGTGGGGGGAGAAGCCTGGGGATGTGCTATCCTTGTTGATGCCTCCCCGTGGCGGCTGGGAGCTGCTCTGGTCAAAGTGGCCCCCGTGGCTACATTTCCCTGGGTTAGGGAAACGGATCTGAAGGGTGAAGGTAAAAAACCTACTGCCTTCTAATAAAATGAAGCCCTTTCTGACTTGGCCTGACCCTCTCACTCCTCAGAAAAGGATCAGCAGAAAATTAGGGCATTTTGCAGAAGGCAAATCTGAAGTAAATCTGGAATGGTTGGTTGTTACAGCACGTGGTAGATCCCCTGATCCCTCAAGTAGGTCCCCAGAAGCTCCCTTGGGCATTGAAGTCTTATCAGCTCTGTAAGAAGCTGTCCTCCCTGCACTCCAACAACCATGGCCACCTCAGTGGGCCTTCAGCCAGCCACCCACCCCTTCCCAGCATCCTTTCCTTCTGAGAAATGATACCACTGGATTTTAGGACAAGGGCCTACAGGACTGAGGTCCTTAGGGAGAGGGTCAGGGGAGAGGAGGGGACTTCACCCCTTACTCCTGGGGGTCTTCCCATCTGGTACCTGGAGGTTTGGGGGGATGAGTTCCAAAGTAGCCAGAGGTGAGGAGTGTGAAGGTCAGCAAGTTTCCAGGGCAGCTCAACTCCTCACAGTCAGAGCAGGTAGGATTGTCCACTGGGAAGAGAGGACCCATGATTCTGCTACCCCTAACATTTATCCCAGTCCACCCAAACTTCTTCAGCTTTTCCTCCCACTTGGAACAAGGTGAAAGCCCACAGGTACCCTTCATGGGTACCTTTCTAGGATTTCTGAACTAAACCCTGGAGTTCATGGCTGGCCATGAGACTCGATATTTGAGACTGAGAGTGTGCTAGAAAATCATGGGGACCAATCCTATGGGGAGTGTACCCTCTGTGAGCTGTGGACAGGAAGTGTACTTGTAATAAACAGGAGGCAGCTTCTGGGTCATAGTTCAGTTGGAAGGGGGGTCTGAGAGGAGAGTCCCCTGCGATCTAGTGCAGGGAGGAAACCTCATGAAAGAGAACTCCTTGCGGTCTGCAGAGCTGGTTCTGGCTCCGTCCTCCCCTGTGTACTCTTGGGGAAGCCAGCTAATTGACTGACCTTTGATTGAACTGAGGGAACTCACAGGTTGTCTCAGATTTGAAGCCATGTCACCTCCTAGTTGACCTCAAGATGTGACCCAGTGGCTGGATGGGCTGAGAGGAGGTAGCACTGTGGGCTTCCCGCTTACCAGCAGGGGCACGGCCGTACCTTGTGCTAGGCTCCGGAGCTCCTGCCTTGGCCAGAGAAGGTGAGGGTGTGGCTGCTGCCTCCCAAGTTCCACCCAGTTGCTGTGACTGTAGAAATCCTGGTCCCAGGAGAAAGACGGGGAAGAAGCACTAGCTGACTGCTCTTGCGGTCTCCAGCCCTAACTGCCCCTCCTTCCATTTCCCCAGCCTGAACGCCTCCTCCCGCCCGGCTGCTCCTCCAGACACCCCACATCCCCTCCAGTGCTCTCTCCTTTGCAAGGAATACTGCTCTGGTGAAGTGGGAGCCTCCCACTGTTTCTTCCCATCTCACTCAGAGCCCAACCCAAGGCCTTTCAGTGGCCTGCATGGCCCACCTCTGGCCCTCAGCACCCTCCTCTCACTCACTTTGCTCCAGCCACAAAGGCGTCCTGGCTGTTCCCACAGAAAGCTGCCAGTTTGGACTGGTGGGGACTAGGGAATAGCCCCAGGGCCTTGGCAAGCAGGGCCCCAGCCCCTTCTAGAGTAGGGGGAGGCATGACTAAGAAAACACCCTGCGGGAGTCCAGAAGACTGAAAGCAAAGACCCCTCTGACCATGCCCCCCGACTCTGTTCTCACCTGCAGGGCGTGAAGCGCAGCCCCCAGGCGCTGGCGAGCCAGGGTGTAGTCAAGGGCTCTGGCTGCCGCCACAGTCTCCCGTAGAGCCTCCACCAGGCGTGTGCGGCCCTGGCCCAGCCGCTCGGCATCAAAGTGCAGGTCAGGGTCATTCTTGGAAGTTGGCAGGAAGTCTTGGGCGGCATTGGCACGAGACACCTCTCCTAAGGCTGCTCGGAACCGTCGGGAAGGAGACCCAGGTCCAAAGTAGGCAGCAAAGAGGTCGTCGGCAAGGAGGGTGCGGCCCTGGGAGAGTGAGCAGGGGTTCCAGGGAAGCCCCTTGGTTGGGACCATTGCCCATGCTCACCCGGCTCTAGCGCTCAAGGCTGGATGTGAAAGGAGCTGAGGGTGCTGGGCCCTACAAGGGAGGGGCAGTCCTGGACGTCTATATGGAGGGGGACTCCTGATTGTTAAGACTAGGACTTCTGGGCACTGTTGCTGTCTGGAGGACAGGAGGGAATGTGTGTGGGGGTCCCTTCTCTTGGCAAGCAGGACCCTCAAGTAGCAGAGGTCCCCAGAATGGGGGAATCCGGCCGGGATGTGACTGGACCCAGGGACGCTCACCAGGAAGTCCTCAAGGCGAAGAGGGGGCCGACCTGGGGGCGGCTGCTCTAGGAAGAGCTGCAGCGTGACGTTGAGCGCCGCCTCCTCGGTCAGGTCCTGGTGGGTGATGGAGCCGGGGGCAGCCAGGAGGCTCCAGATGTTAGGGAAGAAGGCAGATGCGGGAGGCAGCAGCAGCTGCAGCAGCAGCAGCACTGAGGGGCCCAGGTGGGATAGGGGCACGTCCGCGGGGAGCATAGCTAAGACATGGACCTGAGGGACAGAAGGCACTCGAGAGAGGAAAAGAAGGAGCACAGACTTAGGGCAGGACTGGCTTTGTTTGTCTCCATGGGCACCTGCTTTGGCCCTTTATCTCCTCCGGCTGGCTTCCCCCCCCCGCCCCCTTCAATCATTCGGCAAACCTGAGGGCCTATCAGACCAATAGGAACTTACACCTGCTGGGGCGGGGTCTGAGGCTCCTCCCCCAGGACGCCCCTCCCCTCCCTGAGGCGGACGGCCCCGCCCCGGCATTGGAAGTCCCCTCTGTAGGCCTCTCCCCTACCTGGTTGCTGGGTCTCCGTTGGGCAGGACCGCGGGGCCGGGCGTCACGGGGCACTTAGGTCAGAGTTATAATTAACCTAAGGCCTGACTTAGTGGAAGGGGAGGGAGGCCCCGGCAGGGTGGGGGCAGGACAGGCAACCCCTAGCCCCTCTTCTCACGCCTGCCCAGGGCCACAAGCAGCAGCCAGCACCAGGGCGGGCCTCCCTTAGCTGCAGTGCGAAGGTGAATGAAGAGGCGGGAGGAGGAGGGAGCGAGCGCCGTGACTCAGGCCTGGCTCAGGGCCAGGGCCAGGGCCAGGGCCAGACAGACGCACCTCTACCCACCGGGACCCAGTGCCTCATGCCCAGCCTGCTGCCCTCCCGTTGTTCACACTGGCACCTCTGAGGATCCAGGAACCCAGCCCCTCAGCACCCCCTCCCCAGCCCCACCACACACACAGCTGAGATATGGTTTTGTGGCAAAATATTTTATTGCTGCCATCCCCATGGTGGACCACTGGGGGTTATGAGGGTTGGAGTTGAGTGTTTCACAGCATCTTCTGAAATAGGGCGATGGCTTCATCAACCTTCCTGAGCTCTGCTTCTGTCTGCTGGAGCTGAGGACAGAAAAGGGGGTGGTGGGTGAGGAGGCCCAGGCCCAAGAGAGGAGAACCCCAAACGCCCACAAGAGCAGACGGAGTAGAGTTGGAAAGACGGATGAGGACCATGGGCAGGGAATAGTTGGGGGACCCGTGTGTTTGACTGGCCTGTCTCCCCCTAATTCTCACCAACCTCCCACCAGCAGCCTCTTACTCTCCGACTAGCACCCTCATTCGTTTCTACCAGCACCACCTTCTCTTCCACCATCACTGGTCTCCTGGGTCCTGCCTTTTCCCAGTGTTCAGTTCCCAAGGACAAACGGGCCCCAGAGCTCATATGCGCCACCCAGTGGCCCAGCCTCAGGCCCTGACCTGGAGGTAGAGCACAGTGGTTAGGAATGCAGGTTCTGAGGCAGGCCCTTAGCCTTCCCTTGGAAAATGATGACGGTAATACTGCCCTGCCACGAGAGGGCTTCCCGGTAGACAGGAGTGAGAACCTGCTCAGCCACGTGGGTTCTGAGCCTCCACTCTTGTTCCTTTGTGCCCCTGGTTTACCCCATGGTTCCTCCCTGGAGGGTCCCTAGGTGATCTGCTGAGCTCCCTGACTACACTGGCTCCGTCCTGAGCCCAGGTCCTGGCATGTGGATGCCAGGTTCTGGGCACTGGGTGGTGCGTGAGGGGTCCTGCTGGCTGGATGGTCTGCTTCCATCTTCAAATTGCTGTGTGACCCAGGGCTGTGCCCCTGCCCTGGTTGTCTTTCATGTGTAAAAGGAGGGATTCCATGGTCCCACCTGCTCTCCTGCCTGGGCCGGGCAGAGCAGCTGCAGGAGGGGGTTTGATGGTGGAGGGAGCAAGAGGTGGGAAATGGGGAAGGAACTGCCCCACACGCCACACACCTTGGTTTCATCTGCCTCCTGGACTTTGAGGGGCACCTTGACAGTGTAGCCTGAGGTGGCGCGGCGCTCCCGCAGACGCTGGGCCTGCCGCTGCGCCTCGTCACGCTTGGCCTGCAGTTTGCCCAGCTCCCGGGCTGGGTCTACTAGCCCCTGCAGCTGCAGGTGGACGGAGCAGCGGTCAGAGGCCAGGGCCACAGCGCAGCCCTGGGGTGCAGAAGCCCCCAGCGCCAGGACAGCCACGATCCCCGCGCTGGCCAGCGTCTGCACATAGCCCGACACCGCCGATGCCAGAGCACCTGTGGTCTCGTCAGCCACTTCCAGGAAACCTGCCGGGAGAAGGGAGAGAGATGAGGAGACAGAGATGAGGCAGCCATGCTAGACACTGGTCCCGGGGTGGGAGTGGAGAGGGGCACGTGCAGGCCCAAGGCTCACAGTCGGGCCGGATCCGGGTGAGATTGTAGTCGGCACGCAGGGAGCGCACAGCTCGAGTGATGCTCAGGGCCAACTCAAAGGCAGCTTCTGCCTCAGGGTCCTTCCAGGAGCACTGAGGGGAGGAGAAGGGGGTGAGGAAGCTGGGGCAGCTCTGAGGAGGTCCCTGGAGCCCCCCATCCAGGCTGTACCCCATACCTCCGAGGGCTCCGGGTAGGTGGTGACACAGAGGCTAGGGGGAGCTTGTGGCGTCCGCCGGGGCAGCCGCTGGAACAGCTCCTCGGTCACGAAGGGCATGAAGGGTGAGAGCAGCCGCAGGCCCACGTCCAGGCAGGTGTAGAGGGTCTGGCGGGCGCACTCGGCTGCCGCCTGGTCCACCCCATTCAGCACAGGCTTCAGGCACTCCTGGGGGCAGAGGGGCACAGGGTTCAGGACTGGAGAAGGCCAAGGACCGAGAGGTGGGGCAGGCGGCTCCTCCTCACCAGGTAGACATCGCAGAGCTCGTAGAGCCAGAAGCTGTACTGGGCAGTGGTGACAGCTGGGAAGTCGTAGGCTTGGAAACCTTGGTTGCTGAGCCTCACAGCTTCAGTCAGCCGGCTGCGGATCCAGCGGTCCACCAGGCTCTCGTGGCCTCCGGGCTTGAGGGGGGAAGGAGCCTGTCAGCCAGGGGGCACCATGTGCCCAGGAGGTGGGGCCACAACCCCATGGGTACGGGAACCACGGGGAATCTGCATTCCAGGAGGAGATGGGTCCAAAGCAACTGCCACGTGGCCAGGGTGGTGGCCCAGGCCAGAAAGGGTTGGCCCCGCCACTGTGCGGGAGGACTGCAGTGCCTGAGGCTTCCCCTGTGTCTTTGTACCCCCAGCTACTCACAGGCTCCTTAGGGGCAGGGGCCAGGCTTGATGTTGGGATGGCAAGGGTGTGACCCACATGGGTGCTGCCCACCTCACCACCCACCAGGCCCTCACCTCAGACGTGGGTGAGGGCACGAAACCCTTCCCAAGGCCACGGAGGGCAAACTTGGTGGCATTCCAGAGCTTGTTGCAGAAATGGCGGTACCCCAATATCCGGTTCACATCCAGGTTGATGTCACGGCCTAGGCGGAGGTGAAGCTTTGAGTCTACACTGCTCTCTCTCCTGGCCCTAGGCCCTGGGCAGCAGAGAGCGGGGTGCCTCTGGGGAGGAAGAAGGATGCAGCTGAGACTGCCGTGGGGAGCCGTACCCTGGGACGTGTAGGCGCATAGTCCAAACCGGAGTGCATCAGTGCCACACTCGGGGATCCCTGTTGGGAAATCTGCCTTCTGTGGGGAAATGAGGAGAAGTCAGGGAGGGGAGTGTCCTAAGTCAGGCTCAACCGCCTTCTGCCCACATGCCAGCCACCAGCCCACCCCTGTATCTGCCCCCTGTACCTGCCCCTCTTTCGCCTTCTCCACCTCGCTGGGATCCAGGTTGCTGTTCAGTAGCTGGTCGTGGAGGCCCTGGAGGTGAGGTGGGAGCAGTCAGGGGCCCATGGCCACCGCCCCACAGCCCTTCCCGGCCTGATCCAGCACCCAGCCCCACCTGCAGGGAGACCCCATGGATAACGTCGAGGGGGTCAATGACATTGCCTAGAGACTTGCTCATCTTCCGGCCGTGGGCGTCCCGCACGATGGCATGGAGGTAGACCTGCAAGGCCAGGACAGGGAAGGCCTGTGAGGACGTCTCCCCGCCTAGACCCCAATGCCTCTCCCCTCACCCCTACATCTGGTCTGCTCCTCTCTGAACCTCGGGCCCCTCGGTGCCCCGCCAGCCCCTTCTCGTGAATCAGAAGTGCTCCTTCTTCTAGGAAGCGGGGTACAGAATCACTTAGCAGAGTGCAGGCTGGTTTTCAGCCCCACCAGTCCCCTTGGCCGGCCCACCCACAGCTGTCCGGGTGAGGGAGGGGACTGTGGGTATCTCGGCAGTCTCCACACCTCTTTGAAGGGCAGCTTGCCAGTGAGCTTGAGGCCGAGCATGACCATCCTGGCCACCCAGAAGAAGAGGATGTCATGGCCTGTCTCCAGCAGCGTCCCCGGGTAGAACACACTCAGATCTTCTGACTGGGGTCAGAGCAGGGTGTGAGTGATGGGGAGCAACGCACCCACACCCAAGATTCCCACCTGCCCTGGGCTGGCCCCAGGAATGTACCTGGTTGGGCCAGCCTAGGATGGAGAAGGGGAAGAGGCCAGAGGAGAACCAGGTGTCCAGTACATCTTCATCTGAGGGGGGCCAGAGATCAGAGGTCAGAGGGGTAGAGGTGAGGATCGGCCCCCACTGCCCCCCACCCCAAGGCCCTGCCTTGCCTTGCTGGAGACTGATCTTGTCAGGGGACACGCCGAACTCCTTGGCTGCCTTCTCCCGAGCCTCGGCCTCAGTGCGCCCGCTCACCCAGTACCGCCCGTCAGGGTCCTGCCATGCCCAGGTGGAATGAGTACCCAAGGGGGAGCCTCTGTCTGTCCCCCCACCAACACCCAATACACCGAAAGCCCTCCCCCACCCCAGATGTGCCAGTCTCCAGCCCTGGTCTGGTTCTCACCTCCCCTGGGGGCACGGCGGGGTCATTGACAGTGATGAAGTAGGCTGGGATGCGATGGCCCCACCACAGCTGCCGGGAGATACACCAGTCCCTGCAAGTGGCAGGGGGAGGAGAGGGCATCAAGGCGGGGCGGGCGGGGCACCAGGCTGTGCCTGGCTTGGCCCCTCACCCGGTCGCCCTCCCCATGTCAAGGGGCCTGACGCACCGGATGTTGTCCATCCAGGCGTGCCATGTGCGCTGATGGGCCTCTGGCAGGATGCGGAGGTCACCCCGTGTCACAGCAGCGCTGGCGGCCTGAGCCATCTCCCCACAGCGCACATACCATTGCGGCCGCAGCAGAGGCTCCACCACGTCCTTGGAGCGGCTGCAGGTACACGTGGGTGAGGAGGCTGAGTGGTGAGCACCCCGAGGTGCCCACCCCCTTCCCTGGCCTCTGCCCTCACTTGCAAAGTGGCACCACCATGGGGTTGTCCTCAATGCCGCGGAACAGTCCCTGCTCCTTGAGCGCTTCCAGCACCGCCTTTCTGGCCTCAAACCTGGGCAGGCCCTGGGTGGGAAACAGGCTCCATGATGGCTGTGCCAGGAGCCCCGCTGTTTCCTGACAGGGCCACCTCACCCAGGCTGTCTCACCAGGAAAGGTGGAGGCACGTTGACGAGGGCCCCGCGGGCATCCATGATGCTGACAGCCTCCAGCCCGTGCCGCTGCCCAACCTCATAGTCATTCTGGTCGTGGGCGGGGGTGATCTTCACCGCGCCTGGGGCATACGTCGGGGTGAGGGGTCACGCAGGACTCTGCAGTCTCTGCTCACGTGCACCCCACCTTTTGCCAACGGATGTGCTCTCAGACCGCCCCATCCCCCTGACACAGTCCCCTGAAAACCGGCCCAAGTCCTGCAAGTTCAGGTGTGCCTCATGGCTCCTTCCTCTCCCCACAGGACAGCCCGGTGCTTACCTGTGCCGAACTCCATGTCCACAAAGTCATCAAAGACGATAGGGAGGCTCCGAGACACAAATGGGTGGATCACGCTCTTCCCCTTCAGGTGCTGGGGACAGAGGAAGACACCAGAAACACACAATGGACTGGGCTCAACTCCCTCCTACGCAGGGTCCTGATTTCTTGACACCCAACCTCCATCCACAGGGCCAGAAAGCAGCCAAAGCCAGGCATTTCTAATCCAATTTTCTCAGTGCCCATCCCATCCCTACACATAGTGTGGAAGCCCTCTTCAGCCAGCATTCTTCCCCCAACTGCGGGCAGCACCCCCACCACACCTGGTATCTGGGATCTTTGGGGTGCACGGCTACGGCCACATCTCCCAGCATCGTCTCGATCCGAGTTGTTGCCACTACCACCTCCTCGTCGCTGTCTGGGGTGACAGGAGGCCTTGTGGTCTCAGCAGTGAGCACTTCCTGCCCCTCTCCCAACCCAGCCCAGGATCCTGGTGCCCCTGGCTCCTACCTGAGCCTTGGACCTTGTAAGCAAAGGAGACGAGGACCCCAAACTCCACCTTCTCTTTGTAGCCAGGTACGGAGAGCAGGGTACGACCTGTCAGCTCCTTCTTATCCACCTATGAGACAGAGCTTAAGAAAAGAGGTCCAGGGGCTGGGGCTGGGGCTGGGGCTGGGGGTGTGTGGTGGAGGTGTGGAGAGCCGGGGGGAGGGAAGGGGCACACCTCGATGTCAGAGATGGCAGAGTTGAGGGTGCAGGACCAGTTGACAAGGCGGGTGCTGCGGTAAATGACTCCCTCCTCGTGGAGCCGTACAAAGGCCTCCGTAACAGCTGCTGACAGTTTCTAGTGGGAAGAGGGGAAGCCAGAGATGGGCCTGGGTGCTGAGGCAGCCAAGGCCAGTGAACCCGGCCGGGCCAGAGGCCCCTGCCAGCACATAGGCCCCCTTTAAGGGCTGGAGGGGAGAAGTGCTTTTCTTGAGCAGGGAGAGGGGACTATGGGAACACACAGATAGGAAACAGAGTGGTGACGCTGATATGGCAGGGAAGTCACTCAGTTAGGAACAGGGGCTAGTGCAGAGTCCTAGGGGTGCAAGCTCGGGGGAGGTGAGGCCCCTCAGGTGCCGCCTGAAGGAATTTGAGCTCCTATAGGGAACGACAGGGAACACAAAGGGCTGTGACATGGGGTAGAAAGTAGCATTTGCAGCTGAGCCCTAGTGGTTTCCTACAAGTGGACCACCTCCTGGGGTCCCCAGGAGGGGACCCACTCTCCCTACAAGTGGGCCCCCAGAGTGTGCTCTCTTCTGTGGGGAGCTTCCCCCTCCCACCCCAGCCCCAAGACCCCTCCTACTCCTACTCACAGGATCCATGGTGAAACAGGCTCGATTCCAGTCCAAGGAGCTGCCAAGCTTCTTCAGCTGGTGGTAAATCCGGTCACCTTTCCTGGAAGTGGACAGACAGACTGGGATCAGCAATGGGGTCCGGGCTGGAGGGTGACATCAGGTAGCAAAGTGAGCAGAAGGTGGGGATCACTCATCGCTCTGAGATGGGACCTGGGCCCTGGGCCCACATGACCCTCAGCCTCTGTGAGCGGGTCTGACTCCGCAGCCAGGGTCATGGGGCTGTGATGCCAGCAGGGACTTGGCACTCACTCCTCCTTCCACTTCCAGACCTCCTGCAGGAAAGCCTCTCGCCCCAGTTGGTGCCGACTCAGCCCCTGCTCGCGCCAGAGTTTCTTCTCCACCACCACCTGGGTGGCAATGCCCGCGTGGTCACAACCAGGATTCCACAGGGTGGTCTCTCCACGCATACGGTGCCTGCAGGGAGCACGGAGAAGCAGAGGTGAGTGGGTGGTGGAGCTGTCCCAAGGGAACAGGGACTCCAGACAGGTGGTTGATGGACTCAGGAAAGGAAGGGGTGGTGGATCAGAACTCTCCCCATGCTAAAATCATCAGGGAGAGATGTGTGAGGACAGCCCAGGCAATTTGGCAAAAACAACTAAGAGGAGGCTCCTGCCCAAATAGATAGCAAAACATATCCGAGAGCTATGATTATTAAAACAAGTTTTCACAGGAACCAGGAACAAAGTTACCGATTAAGGAAACAAAACAGTGACTGGAAACAGATCTAAGCATAGTTAGTATTTGTTAAGGGTGGCATTTCAAATGTCAGTGGAGAAAGGACAAACTTCAATAAATTTGTTTGGGACTGTAGCTAATTTGACTGGAAAATTGCCCTACTTCCCCATAGTCACAAAAATAATTTTATTTTAATGTCTAAATTTAATTTTAATTCAGTTTTTTAAAAAACCCTTCAACTTAAGAAAACAAAACTATGAGAAAAAGCATTAGAGAATAGTATCATTTCCAAAAATAAAAAAAGAAGAAAATAATAGGTGATCATGTTTATAACTTTGAGGCAGGGGAGGCTTTCTTTAACAAGATAGTGAAGATTAAATAAAAAAACATTGGTAAGCTTAATTAGGTTCACTGTATTTGTACATTATTTTCAATGACTCACCAAACTACATTATATTTGTTACTGTATTGATCTGTTTACCCCCACTAGGTTTAGAGTTCCTTGGGGACAGGACTATAGCAACTCCTTTCTCATACAGACCACAGGTATTTCTTATATGCTGTAATGGATATGGACACTTTCTGACATTTTCAAGATATTTGTTTAGTTGCTAAGTCATGTCTAATTCCTTGTGAGCCCATGGACTATAGCCCACCAGGCTCCTCTGTCCATGGGATTTCCCAGGCAAAAATATTGGAGTGGTTTGCCATTTCCTTCTCCGGGGATCTTTCTGACCCAGGGATCGAACCTGTGTCTCTTGCATTGCCAGGTGGATTTGTTATCACTGAGCTACCTGGGAATCCCATGGGTGTAGGAATATGTAAGTAAATAGGAAAGGTCTTGAAAGACACACATCAAAATGATAATAGTGGCTAATTCTTAGGAGGGAGTGAATCTGGAGGAAGGTGGTCAAGGAAACTTGAAGCTTTAAATTTCTTACAAGAAAATATTCATGTTATTTCTTTCTAAATTCAAAATAATGTTATTTTTAGTGGCATGAGAAGAGAGTTTGCAAGTTGGGAGTGTTGGTTACTTGACCAGAAGAGGATGCTAAGTCATCAGATGGGAATGATCTAGAGGCAAATGTAGCACCACCAGGGGGCAGAGGTAAGAGCCCCAGTCAGCAAAGAGAAGGGAGCCAAGGAGCAGGAGCCAGAAGGCAGAGGGAAGCCTGGAGGAGAGGACAGGAGCTCACCAGCGGGTCAGGGAGTCCTGGATGGCGTTGGTGAGCGCATGGCCCAGGTGCAGGGAGCCTGTCACGTTGGGGGGTGGGATGCACATCATGAAGATGCCCCGGGGGTTTGGTGCTGACACGCTGGAACGCTGACGGGGAGGAAGAGGGGTGCTTGCTAAGGCCTCATGTCACCTCTTCCACGGCCTGGCCCCTTCCTGGACCATGGATCCTTCAGCCCCGTCCCTCCCCGTCTCCATCCCCTCCAGGCCTGGGCGGCAGTGTCCACTCACCCCATACTCAGGCCTGAAGAAGCCCTGCTGCTCCCACCAAGGGTACCAGGCAGCCTCGACGTACTGAGGGCTGTAGGAGTCAGGCATGGTGCCACTGACATCTAAGGGAGAAAGGCAGGGTCAGAGCCGAGGCTGGGAGCAGCTGGGAGAGGGACGAGGGGCCCGCAGAGAAGGACATGGGCCTCACTAGGCAAAGTAGTGGGAGCAAGGACAGAGGAAACAGGATACAAAGAAAAGAGAAAAGGAGGGTGGGGTGAAGAGTGAGGGTCTCTCTTCCCCCTCCTTTCTTTTAGTACCTTTCTTTTCCCCAGGTGGGGTCGGGAGATCGTAGGTAATGACCCCAGGATCCCGTTTCTCCCGCTTCTCTGGTTTTGGTTTCTTCTGCTTGGGAGGAAAAGGATATAGGCCTAGATATCAGGCACTCACCATGGCACCAACCCTCCATCCTGCTCCACCCTCAGCCTCTCACCTCCCCAGGGGGTGGCTGCTGCTGTTGGACCTTCTGCTTCTGCTGGAATTTCTCTAGTTTCTCCCGTTTCTTTGCCTCTTTCTTGAGTTGAGCAGCTGTCTTTGGGGGTGCAGGGACCTCAGAGCCTGGAAAGAGGCACAGAAATGCAGACCTGTCGCTGCAGGCCTGTGAAGAGCGCTGTTCACAGGGCTACCATGTCTCAGATGGCCTATTTATCTCCCCAAAGGCTCCCCCATGTTGACCTCCCACGTACCATCCCCCAGCTCCTGTCCCATTGATTCTGCTATTCCTAAGAGAGAAAAGAAAATGAGCCTATGAAAGGGCCCAGAGGAACCCCCTCCCCGCCCACTCTCCATCCTTCCTCACCTGACTGTTGGGAGAGAGACCTGGCCCCTGAATACAGAACCACCTCTCCCAGTACGGCCCGGAATTCTGGCTGCTGAACACATGTGATAAACCAGCGAGTCACATTACCCCAGATCCGGCGGGCAGAGGGGTCCAGGACCTGGGGTGGGGGAAAGAAATGAATTATCCTTAGTCACCCTGTAGTGAGGTCCGGGGGAACCTGTCCTCATTCTTCCCCAGGTCCCAGTGGCTCACATAACGGAAAGGCAGCAGCAAAGCCGTGACAGCTGCCAGGTCAGCCAGAGTTGGGGCCTCCCCAGCTAGGTAGGTGTGCAGTCGAAGCCATTCTTCCAAGGGGCTCAGGGCTCTGCCCAGGGCCGCCAGTGCAGCCTAGTGGGAAGGTGAAAGGGTATGAGATAACGCTTGGCCCACCACAGTCCCCACCCCCATGCAATCCATTTGGGCCTCCTTCCATTCCCACAGATTACCAGTTTCCTCTTCACTGAAATGATCATAATAAAAATTCTTCCCACTCATTCAATAAATGCCTACTGAAAATTTTTTGGGGGGCTGGGTCATAGGGCATGTGGGATTCCTTGAACAGGGATCCAACCATGCCCCCTGCAGGGGAAGCACAGAGTGTATGAATCACTGGACTTGCAGGGAAGTCCCCTACCGAACACTTATTATATGTCAGCTGCAATATACTAAGCACAAAAGGCTAAAGATGACATGAGGCAACACGGTAATTGCTTCAACAAATATGTATTAAGTACCTCCTGCATGCCAGGCACTTATCTAATGAACAAGGAAGCAGTTTGAACAGATGGAGTCCATGACCTGTTGGAGCTTACATTCTAGTAGCGGGGGGCAACAATAAATATGCAAGTATATAATGCATTACCCTACTGTTCTCCTTAAAAGCCCTGAAGAAAAATAAATGAGGCTGAGGGGGAGAGAGAACCCCAGAGGGGGAGCCCTCTATTTCAATAGGGTAGTCAGGATATGAGGGGTTAAGTCAGGATCTAAGTCATATATTCATTTCATTCATTCATTTGTTTGAAAACTATCCGCCATACGCTCAATACTCTGCAAGGAGGTGGTGTTATTAGGCCTGTAAGGCACAGCTCCATTCAGGAAAAATTTGCATTTATAATCTGGTGTGATTATCTCTCCTTTCCCCTGCTTTCCTTCTTCATTTCTTTTCTCCTTTGTCTTCTTCCAGCAGCTGTCTTCTCTGACTGCCTCTCCTCACCTCTTCTTCACCCAGTCTTTTCCTACAATTCATAGTAACCTCTAACTAACCTCCTCGGTTTCAGATTCACCAAACTCAGAGACTTTTAAAGCACCTGGCACTAGATTATGTGCTCTGCACATATCTTTTAACCTTCTCAACATGTTCTCAATTTTCATTTTCATAGACATAAGAAGACCAAGGCTCAGAGAGTTTAACCTGCCCAAAGCTACCAAAACAAGTGGCAACCCGGGATATGATCAGTCTTTTTCAACGTTTGATACGCTATCTTCCTGACTCACCATCCATTCCGACTTTTGCTTTCTTCTTCTAAATTTCCCCCTCCCCACTTCAAGCTTCTTCTCACCTGGGGGTCTTGGGCCGAGCTTCGGAGTCCCAAGGCCGGCAGCGTAGCCCCACAGGCAGCTGGTATTAGCTCGGTGTCAGCGTAACTGACCCACTGTTGGACCAGGACGGCTGCCCGACTACCCCCGGGACCCCCCAGGCCTGCTGGCCACAGCAGCTGGGACACAGCCGTGGCTCCCCACACCCAGAGCCCACCGGGACCCTGTTCCAGGGCTGGCAGACGGGGTGGAGGAAAAGGAGTCCGGCTGGCGGGGGGCGGCTGGAGGCAGATGCGGGGGTGGGCTCCTCCCCATCCCGGGCCCTCCCCAGCTTCCCCGTAGCGAGCAGCTACGAGGGCTCGGAGGCTGGGGAAGGCATCGGGGTGAGGAGAGACGTACAGAATGGACATGGTTACGCGGGAGGTCCGAACGCGGTGGAAAAACCCTAAGGAGAAAGAGAGACAGGGTAAGACCGAGGCATCTAGGACTAAGTATGACTGGGCCTCAAGACCCGAGGACCCAGTTCTCGGGGTGGCAGTGACAGTGGGGAACTAACTTCCCGTGACCGCGGGCCCTCGGGGAGTGTGGGAAGCTCGTAGGAGCCCCTTGGCGGCCGTGGGACGCGGGTTCGGGCTGCATGTACGTACTGGAGGGAGGTGGTCACACTGAGCCGGGCATCCACCTCATAGCCGGGCGCCGGCCGAAGCTGGACTGGCCTGGCGGCTGCGGCCGAGGAATCCGGCGGGCAGGGACGGCGGGCGGTTCTCTGGGCGACCCTAGCTCCCTGCGACAGCCGCCCGGGCCGTCGGCGCCCACGTGTCCCCCCGCCTTTGTGACTGCGAGCGCTTCCGGGCCCGCGGGTCCTGGCGCGGGCGACCGTGCCCCGCCTGCGTGTGCAGGCGCGGTCCTGCTGGACGCTGGCCTGGGGGTAGTCACGCCGCCCGCTGCAGATCGCGCTCCTGAGGAATGGCGCGGGGCTTGGGCACTGGGGTGGCGGGGGGAGGACGCCCCCCCGGAACCGCGACCCGGTCAGGCGCCGCCGCGGACACCCCGCGCGGGTCCTCGGCCTGGAGGGAGGGCGGTGCCGAGCGGGCAGCTGGGGAAGCGACTGGGAGAGCGCTACCTGCTGCGGAAGGCGCCCGAGTCTGGGGTCCGTTCGACCAAAGGCCCCCGCGTGCAGGTTCCCCGCCTCCTAACCTCCCGGGCCTCATTTCCTCCTCTGTGGGAAGAGGGTCACGCTGGAGGGCCTCTAAGGTCCCTTCATGCTGAGAATTCTTTATCTGTAGTGGGAACTCTATTTGCTAACTGCCTGTGTTCAATGCCAGCAACTCTCCACAGCCAAAATTGTACCTTGTTTGTATTTATCTACAATAGATATCGGGGAAAACTGTACTGATTTGGGGGGCTTGAGGAAAAAATCCAGCAGCATCAAACGCACTTTTGGTGTTTCATTAACTTGCATATTAATGGAAGGACAGCAAGCACTGTAGGTACAGTATAAGGCTATGTTGGGTAGGCGAATGTTCAGAAAACGGCATAGTCCAGTTGGGGTAATGATATGGTTTGTACCAGGAGAGTAGTAGCAGATAATGCTGGGTAACAGGGATAACAGGGCTTGGAGGAATTCAGCATGCCTTTTCCACCCTCTCCAGCCCCCTTCCCAAAGCACACACAGAACCAGAACTCGAATTTGCTTCATAAATTTTATTCCCGATGCGGGATAGATTCCTTCCCTCCCCACAATAAATCACGTGCTACCCTGGAGAGCTCTCAGAGATTCTCCCACCACCTCCAGGGAAGAAGTGAGAAAGGCAGGTGCTGGAGACAGGGAAGGCTTCTCAGTTCCTCAGCCTACTCAACAGAGGACAGCCGCTCCCCATTATTAGCCCTCTCATCCACATTCCTTAAAAACAAAAAAAGAAGCAGCTTTTGCTATCAAAAAACAAACACCTCCAGAAGTATGGGAGGGAAGCCTCCGGGGCTGGGACATGATGTTAAGGGTCACCAATGGAAGGAGGGGAAGGTAGGAGGAACTATCACTGCTTCTGCTGCAGGGCCTCCTTCCTTGCTGCATCTTGTAGCAACTGTGTGTCAACTTCATCTGCTGGCAACTGCACATAGCGAACCACTGAGCCCCGGATGAAGCAGTTCTTCACTGACAACTAGACAAAGATAGACAAATGTGAAAACACCCTTAAAAAATGCCCTCCATCCACCCAGGGACCTCCTGGTTTCTTTGAAGTGTTCCTCTTCTCTACTATCCACAACTCACCATGTGAGGGTATTTCTCAGGGTCTGTGACACTGATGTCAGTTAGTTTGATGTTGAGATACTAAGAAAAGATGAACACCATCATTAAAACTAGAGACAAGATGAAAGTACCCAGCTCTCAAGCTCTCCCATTTCCTTCCCCAAGACCCCATTTAGGGCCCTTATTATAATCTCACCTGATCCACAGAATGGAGAGTTCCACAGATGCTGTTATGGGCAGAGAGAGGATAAAACCAAATTAATTTATACCAAAGTCAACACAGAGGTGACTTCAGAGCAGGCGACAAGAACATGGTTGGGGGAAGTAAAGGACTTGAAGAAACCATAAAAGGTACAACCAGAAAGGGGCATGACTAAGCTCTGGAGTAGGAAAGAAAGTGTTTCCAGAGCAGTGTGCTATTTTAGACCTCACATTTATCCCTAAACCAACTCACTCTTGTAGCTGCCATCAGACAACTGTTATTATGTGCCAGACCTGTATTCTCCATAGTATTTGTAATCTTTACAGCCATTTCATTGGGTAGCTATTATGAAACATCCAGGGGCCCAGAAACATTTTGTAACTTGGCCAAGTTTAGAACAAGGACTTTGATCCAGGCCTGTCTGACCCCCCCAAATCATCAGTTCTTTTCAAATACTACTGCTTTGGAACCAGAGCCCCACATGTAATGTATATAAATTAACAAACTATCAGTGTTCTTGATGATGTAGGCACAAGGGATGTCCTCTCCCTCTACCCTTTAAGCCACCAGGGAAGCCCAATATAAATTAACTAGCAGTGCTCTTGATGATGTAGGCACAAGGGATGTCCTCTCCCTCAATTCATGAGCCCCCTGCAAAGTTAAAGAGGAATGCTATCTAAATACCAGTGCTTCAAGCCAGACTCTCTCCCAATCCTGTAATTTCTGCCAATGGTTTCAACATTGTCTCACAACCTCAAACCCTGTAAATCGAGGACCCTTCATGTTCTACAAATCCCCATTGTTTGCTGATGTCTAACATTTCTGCAATTTCTATAATTCTCTCTGACAAACCAAGGTCTAATGACTTTACAGCTCAATCCAGGCTAGCCTCCAGCCTGGCTACCCTCATCCTAACCCTCCTGCATGTCACCACCAGATTCTAAGTTCCTTAGAACCTGTTTCTCAAACATTGATGTGCACTCAAAGATTCCAAGAATCTATGACAAAAGAGGAAACATAAGCTAGTGTAAAAAAAAAAAAGCTAGTGTAGTATGTGTATAGTGTGCTAAAGGTTGTCAAGTTTTCTTTGTAAGAATAACTGCTCTTTAATTGACCTTTTTTGTATTAAAAAATTGTTAATAAATAGCAGTTTTTAAAACATCCTTATCTTGCCAAAATTCAAGTTGTCCGTTCTCTGTTGGGCCATAATTTTTGTAAAATTCTAAGTATTTGAAATCCAGTGTCAGACCAACTGCCTCAGTGGTGATCTCACCATATTCCTGGATGCTTAAAAAAACAACAAAAAACAAAAAAACCTTGGTGCCCTATCACCTACTGCAGCTGTGAAATAACTTTCAGGAATTGCATAAAGTGGTAACTTTTCTTCAGTCCCTTTAGAATGAGATACTTGGCACAAAAGTGGTCTGACACCCAGCATGAGAGAAAGAACACTTCTCCCAACCCAATGGATTACCTTTGAATCTTTAAGTCCTTGCTTTAAGGTCTGGGGCTATAACAACAGTTATTCTTGCCATTTGGAAAACCCAGGAAGAAAAAAAGAGGAAAATATAAAACAAGTCATCTTACAGAAGTGATGAAAGTAGCTGTGGTTTCCACACTTGTCTCTCTATATGGACCCAATTTATATGCCATCAATATCACATGCATTGCGGGTACCATAGATCAGAAATCTCTGACCTAAAAGGCAAATAAATCCCTTGCTTCACCATTCTGCCATGTCAATGTTTCCCCCACTAAGAAATAATCTCACATAGAAATGTAGAAGAAACTGCTGGGGAGACAATACATTGATTCACACTTTCTAAAGGACAGTCAGGTAGTATGTTTTGATATTTAAAATGTACATTTCATTCAAAGGATTTTTTACTTCTAATGAAATGAGATGTATACAAAGATTTACGCTTGAGGATGTTCAGGGCAAAATCACTTGTAAAAACAAAGAACTGGGAACAGCCTAAGTGTCCAGCAGCAAGGTTTTGCTTAAATCAGTTCTAGCCAGCTTAGAAAAATGCCATTCAGACATTAACAACATTAAACATCAACTTTATTGACATGGAAAATACCCACAACATACTGTTAAGTGAAAAGCAAGTTTCACAACTGCATAGAGACTATACCCTGTTTTTAATTTAAAAAGGGTTGAAGTGAAAGTTGCTCAGTCATGTCTGACTCTTTGCGACCCCATGGACATAAAGTCCATGGAATTCTCCAGGCCAGAATACCGGAGTGGGTAGCCTTTCCCTTCACCAGGGGATCTTCCCAACCCAGGGATCGAACCCAGGTTTCCTGCATTGCAGGTGGATTCTTTACCAGCTGAGCCACAAGGGAAGCCCAAGAATACTGGAGTGGGTAGCCTGTCCCTTCTCCAGTGGATCTTCCTGACCCAGGAATTGAACCAGAGTCTCCTGCATTCCAGGGAAGCCCATTAGAAAGCTATTGCGGGTGTGTGTGCAGATAATGGAATTTAAGTTCTGGTTTTGTCTTTTACTAGTTGTGTAGACCTAACCAAGTTTCTTAATCTATCTTAATCTTAATCTTCTCTTCAGTTTCCTCATGTGTAAAACAGCAACAATAGTGTATGTCATGTAGAGATGTTCTGAAAATAAAATGAGTTAAACAATTTATTCAGGTCTGTGTTAGACATTAGGTACACAGTGGTAAGCTTAAACATGGTCTTGGCCCTGTAGGAAAGACAGTTCCTAAACAGTTAATACATTTCTATGAAATCATAATTTGAGAAGCACCCTGTAGCAAGGAAAAAGACTTTGTAACAGAATGGTGTACTTGGCTAGAACCAGGAAAGTCCAGGGATATAGCATTTAATCCAAGTCCTGAGAGATGATTAGAAGCTAATGATACAAGGGGACAGGGGATGTAAAAGCTGTACAGACAGAAGGAGCTGCACCAGTCTCCTGCGTATCTTTTATATTTTCTTCAACAAAAGGGAGATTATGCCACATATACAGTACTGCAATAGCTTTTCCTATTGGTATCTCATTTCTATGTGACAGCTATATTATATGGAAATACCACAATCAATCCCATTCCCTATTTATGGCTATTTCCCCCCCAACTTTTGACTATTACACACACACACACAAATCTACCATCTTTCTACATACATTGTTACTTGTGGAACTGATACTTCGAATTCTAGAAGTTGGGCCTGCCCTGTTTTCTCTCTGGTACTTACTACTTATATATTTCTTTCTATTGTTTTCCAATACATGATACAACTCCTCAGCTAATCTGTAAGTTTAAGATACAAGTCATTTCTTCCTTTTGTATCTCTCCCACCTTGCCTAGTGCTCAAATACTCCTCAAATTAAACAGGTTCCAGGGCGCTCAGCACATCCACCCCCTACAAACTTGTGGGAACAAGTACCTACCTCAGGTCATTCTTGAGTTCCACGACCACATCCTTGCCGACAAGGGACTTGAAAAAGGAATAGAAGAGCTATTGGGCGAGAGGGGGAAAACCATCATATGGGAAGGGACACAGTAAAGAGGTGTGAACCCCTGCCAGTATTACCAAACACTGGTATTGGGATCCCGCCACATCTCTGGCAGTTCTCTAAACTTCACAGGAAGGAATACTTCACAGGAATACACAAGAAGGAATACTCGAATGAACAGGTGAAGCCCTGACGACGATGCATACTACGAGCCCCTGACATAAAGCCATCTGCCCTGCACACCTCGGGTCTGCCTCAATGGACTCTCTCTCCTGGGGTCCTGCCCACGCCTCCTGGATAATTGTATTAAGTATTCCACCCGCCCCTTCTCAGAGCCTGGTCTCCGTCAAGGAAATGCTCCTTGAGGTCTACTGTCCCTGCTGACTCTCTCATAGGGGGTAAAAAATTCCATTTGCTTCCAAGTCTCTTCTCAAAGAACTTGAGGTGAGGAACCAATAATGGAGGGAAAATCTAGGGCCCAACGCCAGCACAGAGGAACAAAGCCTCCAAAGGGACGCCCACCCCGCCCCCAACCGTCCCAACCGCCCGCGCTCCCCGAGGGCGCCCCCTTGTGACGTCACGGTACCTACCATGGTGCTTGCGCCGCCGGCTCTCCGCCGGACCGGGAAGGCGCGGGCCGGGTGCCGTGGGCCGGAGGCCTGGCGGGAATTGGAACGCAAGCCCGCGCGTGGGGCGGGGTGGGGTCGCGCAGGCGCAGGGGGGAGGCGCAGCGGAGAGGCGCAGCGGAGAGCTCCGAGTGATGGAGAGCGAACGGCTGGATCACGGCTCAAGGGGAGCCGGCCGGGTAAAACCGAGGAGAAAGCCAAAGCCGGGAGAGGGGCGGGGCTTCCCGCCTTCCGACTTCCTCCCGGAGGGGCGAGCTCCCACCGCGCAGGCGCGGGCCCCAACTGCGCCCGGAGGGTTAAAAAGACTGGCTTAGCGCCCCTTAGGTTTTTGTTCCTTTCTATGACAATAAATTCACTCCCGGCCCGATTTGCTCTTACCCTAAAGACACTTCCTATTGCAGACTGACTGCCGGGGAGCTTGTGAAAATCCATGATGATTTGTACACTTTTCTCTGTATGCTACACTTGGGTAACAACAACAACAAAAATTGGGAAGTCCCCGAGATCAAGAGCCTGCACGCCAGCAAATCTTGATTTTATCAAAGGTTCCCAATAAACACATTACTCTCTCAGTCCACATTTCTTTTACACTTTGCCTACGGCTGTTCTGTAAAGGACTGAGTAAAACAGAACACAATGGATCCGGGATAAAAGTACCCATTCTAATATTTCACTTCCAAATATTTCCCTCTCAAACACAAAGGGACACTAATGCAGTAAATGCAGTTACACACACTTCTATATTATGTTCCCCCAGGCTTTATAAGTATGTGAAATTATGACAATAGGTGAAGGTATTTTTTAAGGGATAAGCTCATAAGTTTTTCATTTCTCTTCTTGCATAAAAGTACACATTTGTCAGGAGGTTTTTGTTGTTGTTGCTTTGTTAGGAGGTTTTTTAAGAAATATTTTCAGCAGGTAAAGGACCGTAATATTGAGTGCGCAGGGGCAGGATCTCCTAGGCCCCACCAATGAGTGACATCAGGACATCAAGCAGAAGTTGGCCCTTGCCCCAACTCCCCAGCTCAACTTTAAACACCTAAATCAGTCAATCACTTAAAAGCAGTATCTAAATTAGTAGCTACTCTAACTGGGGCTAAAGGTTAAACGTGCCTGATAATCAAAAGATTTTTTCCCTTCTTCAATCAGCTCATGAAAATTCAAATACTTTGCCCTTACCAGCTTAATCATTCACAATTAGCTCACAAACAGACCACACGTGGTCACTCCACACACTCTCCCTTTTTACAAGATACACTCAGTCTAAAAATACCACAAGTAATTTGCTTTAGGAACAGATTTACTGAGGGACAAATAACCATCCACACAGGAAAAAGGAAGTTGGGGAGGCTGGAAATAAATAACAGACATTCAGATTCTTCAAATAGTTCCGAGAGGTGCCTGGTTTTCCTAAGAGTCTCATTCCAGAGTCAGAAATTTGTTGGAATGTGTCAGAAAATTGTTGGGAGTGTGAAAAGATGGTATATGAGACTCCTCCATCAGAATCCAAAAGGGATAGTCACTTACATTCAGGTCCAGTCAATTCAGGAATCGTAACCATGTTTGAAGATGAGGGCAACAAAATTCATCTTAGAGGCACCCTAGAACCGTCCAGCTCCACATAAGATTAATCTACTTCTTCAATTGTGGGGCCTGTTGCAGCCCTTCCAGGTGTATACCCTGTTCCACAGGAAGGCCCAGTGCATCCTCCCTGGTAGAGTTTTGTGATGATTGGGTTACACACTTGCTCCAATTCCTTTCTCTTATGATCAAACTCATCTTTCTCAGCCAGTTGATTGGCCTCCAGCCACGAAAGGACCTCATTGCATTTACTCAGTATTTTCTTTTTATCAGACTCACTAATCTTGCCCTGTAGGCCTTCATCACTCACAGCACTCTTCATGTTAAAAGCATAGGATTCTAAGGCATTTTTTGCAGCAATTTTCTCTCTCTGGACCTCATCCTCAGCTTTGTATTTTTCAGCATCCAGAACCATGCGCTCGATCTCCTCCTTGCTCAGCCGGCCCTTGTCATTGGTAATGGTGATCTTGTTGGCCTTGCCCGTGCTCTTGTCCATAGCTGTTACATTGAGAATACCATTGGCATCGATGTCAAAGGTCACCTCAATCTGGGGCACTCCCCTGGGTGCTGGAGGGATTCCAGTCAGATCAAAGCGCCCCAGCAGGTTGTTGTCCCGAGTCATGGCCCTCTCGCCCTCATACACCTGGATCAGCACGCCCGGCTGATTGTCTGAGTAGGTGGTGAAAATCTGTGTCTGCTTTGTGGGGATGGTGGAGTTGCGCTTGATTAGTACAGTCATGACTCCCCCTGCGGTCTCCAAACCTAAAGACAGGGGAGCCACGTCCAACAAAAGCAGGTCCTGTACCTTTTCAGACTTATCCCCCATCAAAATGGCTGCCTGAACTGCAGCCCCATAGGCAACTGCCTCATCGGGGTTGATGCTCTTGTTGAGATCACGACCATTAAAGTAGTCTTGCAACAGCCTCTGAACCTTAGGGATTCGAGTAGAGCCCCCTACTAAGACAATGTCATGGATTTTAGCTTTATCCATCTTGGCATCCCGAAGAGCCTTCTCCACAGGCTCCAGGGTGCCCCTGAACAGGTCTGCACACAACTCTTCAAACCGGGCTCTGGTGATGGATGTGTAGAAGTCAATGCCTTCATAAAGTGAGTCAATTTCCAAGTTGGCCTGGGTGCTAGATGACAGGGTCCTCTTGGCCCTCTCGCAGGCAGTGCGCAACCGCCTCACAGCCCGCTTGTTCTGGCTGATGTCCTTTTTATGTTTCCTCTTGAATTCTTCCACAAAGTGGCTCACAAGCCTGTTGTCAAAATCCTCTCCACCCAAGTGGGTGTCCCCAGCTGTGGCCTTAACCTCAAAAATCCCATCATCTATGGTCAGGACAGACACATCAAATGTGCCTCCACCCAGATCAAAGATCAAGACATGTCGCTCTCCCTGACCTGCTTTATCTAAGCCATAGGCAATGGCAGCAGCAGTGGGTTCATTGATAATTCTTAGCACATTGAGACCTGCGATAACACCTGCATCCTTGGTGGCCTGACGCTGAGAGTCATTGAAGTAAGCTGGCACAGTGATCACAGCATTAGTGACAGTGTAGCCCAAAAAAGCCTCAGCAGTCTCCTTCATCTTAGTCAGTACCATAGAAGAGATTTCCTCAGGATAAAAAGCTTTCTTTTCCCCTTTGTAGGACACCATTACCTTGGGCTTGCCTCCTTCGTTGATTACTTGGAAAGGCCAAAGTTTCATATCTGATTGCACGACAGGATCATTAAATTTTCTGCCGATCAGACGTTTGGCATCAAAGACAGTGTTCTGGGGATTCATGGCTACCTGGTTCTTGGCCGCATCGCCGATAAGCCGCTCGGTGTCTGTGAAGGCCACGTAGCTGGGGGTGGTGCGGTTGCCCTGGTCGTTGGCGATGATCTCCACCTTGCCGTGCTGGAACACCCCCACGCAGGAGTAGGTGGTGCCCAGGTCGATGCCGATGGCCGTTCCCTTAGCAGCAGCCATGGTTTTTCTAGGTCTGTGGGAAAAGAATGAGATAAAAGTTTTTCAGTGAGAATTTTTAAATTTTATTTTTAACTGTGGTAAAATACACACAACATAAATTTACCCTCTTAACCAATTTTTGACATACAATTCAGAAGTCAGTCCACTCACATTGTTGGCCAACGAATCTCCAGAATTTTTATCTTGCAAAACAAATTTTATACCCATTAAACAACTCCCCATTTCCCCTCACCTCCCAACCCTTGAACCACCACTAGTCTACATATTTTTGGGGGGCCTACTTTTTGTCTCTCAGAATTTGACTCTTCTAAGTACCTCACATGAGTGAAATTATACACTATTTTTTGTGTGTGACTGGCTTAATTTACCATAATATCCTAAAAGTTCATCTATTTTACAGCATATGTCATAATTTCTTGCATCTTTATGGCTGAATAACTTTTATTGTATGTATATACCACATTTGTTTATTCATTCTTTCTGTGGCACTTAAATGGTTTCCATTTTATGGCTATTATGAATAATCCTGCCATATAATCCCTGTACAAACATCTCTTCCAAACAAGGTTTTTGGACAAGATAGAAAAACTCCTAGCTAACAGGCATGAAGAGGGAGGGCAGTGGCATATTGATTCTAATTCCTCACAGGGCCTCACTCCACGGTCCTGTTTCTGTGTCTGTGATAGTTTATTCTAATATTGTACAAGCCTCCCAATGAACTCACTATTTGAAGTTCTAGTCTCCTCAGAAGACATCACTTCCACAGGTGGGTTTAGCAACCCTGCCGGTCCTCTTTTACCCTCTATTAGGGATTGTGGAGATTTCGGCCAGTCTGAAGAATGCCCCTAAGAACCCAATCAAGCCCTCGTGAGTTTTCTCAGGTAAGGTGGTGCTCTCTAAGACTTTCTCTAATCTCAAAAACAGAACTCCTCTTATCTGGAGACAATAACTTACCAGCTCCTTCTTTTTTTTTTTTTTTTGGTAGCTCTAAGCAATTCCAGCCACCTTTGCGGCCCTTAAAGGAGCCCCCTTCGCTGACTAGTCACCACACCCATACCTTATATTTAAACAAACTAGAGAAGTTTCCAATACCTCCTCAAACCAGGACCTACTAGTCTTGCCTATTACCAGCCCATTCCAGTCACAGCACTTGTGACTCACCTAGTGTCCCGCCGCCTTCGATCCAGTTTGATACGGTTCAGATTGTGGAGCCCCTATAACTTGGGGCTCCTTCAATAGCCAAACTGCGCAGGCGGTGTCCCCCCACCCCCCACCCGCCCCGTCATACGACTTTGAGTTGGGTCCAGACCTATCATCCTAATTCTCCACTAGCCCGTGAGGTCAGAGGCAGCACCTCCATTGTAACGCGACTAGAGCAGGGCGGCGTCAACACCACCACCCCAACTGCCGCCCCACCAGCCCCTCCCATCTTTCCCCCTCCCATTACCCCTTTCCGAGACAGTGCCAGCCAGCAAGTCCCAGAAGAGTCTGGAGAGTTCTGGGAGGAGTGGCATCCAAGGCGCTGATTGGTCCCAGAAAGCCAGGGGGCAGGACTTGAGGCGAAACCCCTGGAATATTCCCGACCTGGCAGCCCCACTGAGCTCGGTCATTGGCTGAGGAGGGAAAAGGCGGGGCTTGATGAAGAATTATAAACACAGAGCTGCCTGAGAAAAAACAGCAGCCTGGAGAGAGCTGATAAAACTTGCGGCTTAGTCCGTGAGAACAGCTTCCGCAGACCCGCTGTCTCCAAGGACCTCCCCGAGCGGCACCGGCGCGTTCAGTTTTCGGGTTCCGAAAAGCCCGAGCTTCTCGTCGCGGATCCCGTCGGCCGTTTTCAGGTTTGAAGGTCATCTCGGAGCCGGAAAGGAAGGGCACCGGCATGGCGAAAAACACGGCCATCGGCATCGACCTGGGCACCACCTACTCCTGCGTGGGGGTGTTCCAGCACGGCAAGGTGGAGATCATCGCCAACGACCAGGGCAACCGCACCACCCCCAGCTACGTGGCCTTCACAGACACCGAGCGGCTCATCGGCGATGCGGCCAAGAACCAGGTGGCGCTGAACCCGCAGAACACCGTGTTCGACGCGAAGCGGCTGATCGGCCGCAAGTTCGGCGACCCGGTGGTGCAGTCGGACATGAAGCACTGGCCTTTCCGCGTGATCAACGACGGAGACAAGCCTAAGGTGCAGGTGAGCTACAAGGGGGAGACCAAAGCGTTCTACCCGGAGGAGATCTCGTCGATGGTGCTCACCAAGATGAAGGAGATCGCCGAGGCGTACCTGGGCCACCCGGTGACCAACGCGGTGATCACCGTGCCGGCCTACTTCAACGACTCGCAGCGGCAGGCCACCAAGGACGCGGGGGTGATCGCGGGGCTGAACGTGCTGAGGATCATCAACGAGCCCACGGCCGCCGCCATCGCCTACGGCCTGGACAGGACGGGCAAGGGGGAGCGCAACGTGCTCATCTTTGATCTCGGCGGGGGTACGTTCGACGTGTCCATCCTGACGATCGACGACGGCATCTTCGAGGTGAAGGCCACGGCCGGGGACACGCACCTGGGCGGGGAGGACTTCGACAACAGGCTGGTGAACCACTTCGTGGAGGAGTTCAAGAGGAAGCACAAGAAGGACATCAGCCAGAACAAGCGGGCCGTGAGGCGACTGCGCACGGCGTGCGAGCGGGCCAAGAGGACCTTGTCGTCCAGCACCCAGGCCAGCCTGGAGATCGACTCCCTGTTCGAGGGCATCGACTTCTACACGTCCATCACCAGGGCGCGGTTCGAGGAGCTGTGCTCCGACCTGTTCCGGAGCACCCTGGAGCCCGTGGAGAAGGCTCTGCGCGACGCCAAGCTGGACAAGGCGCAGATCCACGACCTGGTCCTGGTGGGGGGCTCCACCCGCATCCCCAAGGTGCAGAAGCTGCTGCAGGACTTCTTCAATGGGCGCGACCTCAACAAGAGCATCAACCCCGACGAGGCGGTGGCATACGGGGCGGCGGTGCAGGCGGCCATCCTGATGGGGGACAAGTCGGAGAACGTGCAGGACCTGCTGCTGCTGGACGTGGCTCCCCTGTCGCTGGGGCTGGAGACGGCCGGAGGCGTGATGACCGCTCTCATCAAGCGCAACTCCACCATCCCCACGAAGCAGACGCAGATCTTCACCACCTACTCGGACAACCAGCCGGGCGTGCTGATCCAGGTGTACGAAGGCGAGAGGGCCATGACGCGGGACAACAACCTGCTGGGGCGCTTCGAGCTGAGCGGCATCCCGCCGGCCCCCCGGGGGGTGCCCCAGATCGAGGTGACCTTCGACATCGACGCCAATGGCATCCTGAACGTCACGGCCACGGACAAGAGCACGGGCAAGGCCAACAAGATCACCATCACCAACGACAAGGGCCGGCTGAGCAAGGAGGAGATCGAGCGCATGGTGCAGGAGGCGGAGAAGTACAAGGCGGAGGACGAGGTCCAGCGCGAGAGGGTGTCTGCCAAGAACGCGCTGGAGTCGTACGCCTTCAACATGAAGAGCGCCGTGGAGGATGAGGGGCTGAAGGGCAAGATCAGCGAGGCGGACAAGAAGAAGGTGCTGGACAAGTGCCAGGAGGTGATCTCCTGGCTGGACGCCAACACCTTGGCGGAGAAGGATGAGTTTGAGCACAAGAGGAAGGAGTTGGAGCAGGTGTGTAACCCCATCATCAGCAGACTGTACCAGGGGGCGGGGGGCCCCGGGGCTGGCGGCTTTGGGGCTCAGGCCCCTAAAGGGGGTTCTGGGTCTGGCCCCACCATTGAGGAGGTGGATTAGGAATCCTCTGGATTGCGCATGTTTGTTATGGAGACTGTTGGGATCCAAGGGCTTTGCATTGCCTTATATATCTGCCTTTCATCAGCTATCAGCTATGCAAGCTGTTTGAGATGTTGAACTCACTCTCTTGGTTAAGTTAGGAACTCGTTTCCAGAGTCTTAAGTATAGAGCTGAATGTATAGTGCCATCTTTTGTCAATTTCTCTTTTTGTAGTACTCATGCCAAACTCAAGCTATTTTTCCCCCGTTTCTTACTGTTTACTTTCAAGTAAATAAACTGACATAATTAGAGTGATGTTTGTTTCTGTGTCTTTATTTTGAAGTCGGAAGGATCTGCAGAGGTTGTCTTTTTTTACAGTGTCCAAAAATGAACTGCAATTGGCCTCTGAGGTAAGGTCAGGGATCCAGAAAGGAAGAATATAGCATTATGACACATTTCTTTTAGGCAAATAGTATCCTTGGGAAATATAAAACTGCTCATTTGAAAGGTTGGGTTTGTGAACCCAGAAAATGTTAAGGGCTACTGGCATGGTAGCCTCAAGGTGGCGGGGAGCGGGGCGGGGGGGGGGGAGTCGATACTTTAAGGGTGACCTCAAAAGGAGCCTGTGAATGGGAGTATTCCTGCAGAAGCAGGTAAATAAAAGAGGCAGGTAGAGTGGAAGGTCATGGCTCCTGCTGCTTGTAAGTACAGGTGATATCTTGGAGCCTTGTTACTTAATCTGGATTCAGCATGAAAGAGAAGGTGAGTCCTAAATCGCCTTGAGGAAATGTGAATTCTAGTACTGGCTTGCCTAGTTATGCACTATTGTGTTAGCCACTGTGATGCCCAGGTCTCAAGAGTTTAAAATGGAAGGGTTTGGCCTGATGCTTCAGTTTATATTTAATTTCTTGAAAGAATGCTGGGATAAAAATGCTGCATATTTCCAGTACTGGTTACCTACATTTTAAGTATCCCAGTTGAGTACTTTAGAGAGGTGTCACTGTTTCATGCCCCAACAGGAGGACCCCCAGTATTTCACTGTTCTTACCCTCCAGGTACTGTACCAGGGGCCTTTCAAATGTTTATTAATTCCCATTCCACCATACTGAGTATAGGCAGTGTTTGGCTTCCACAGGTGGACACATGTGGAGACTTAAAAGTCACTGGCTTGACTAAGATTTATTTCAAGGTTAAAAAAATGAGTTCAGCGAAGATGTTGAACCTGGATTCCAACTGAGGTTTTACTGGTTTTTGCTCTGCTGTCCACAGGGCTTTGTGCATGTCTGGTTCTGGGTTATGGGTCTACCCTAGGTTTCACAATCAGTAATCTTTCTGCTTTGACTCTGATTCTAAACAACTATGTCAGATAATACAGTTAATGCTAGAGGTTTAGTGCTGGTTAATTTAGAAGAGTGAAAAAACCTGCAGCACTGTACCAGGAAGGCTTAACCATAGGCTTCCTTCCACTGGAGACACTTCTTGCCCTAACTGCTGCTAGCATTCTGGGCATAGTCCCCTCCACAGCCTGTTTGTGGAAAAGGCCAGGCACAATCCTCACGACTTGGGAGTGAGCCCCTTTAAAAGTCAATTGTATCTGGGGATTATGGAGATTCTGGAACCAGGTGGAAGTGGTGATTGCACAAACTGGGCTAGGTACCACTAAATTGTACACTTTAAAAGGGTTTATGTGAATTTACCAAAAATAGTAAAAAAAAAAAAATTTGTGTCAACATTCTGGAAAAGCACTTTGTGTGTGTATCTCAAGGCCCACCAAATCTTTCACTAAATACTTGCGTTAGAAGAAACTCTAATATTAATGGGAATAACATGGAGAGGTAGACCTGTCCCTATAAGTTTGGAAATGAAAATCTAAGAGATGCTTAGACTTGCAGGCCAGCATATAAACACAGGTTTAATCCTCAGGGTAGGTGAAGTGTAGCATGGCGGACTCCTGCCACAATGAGTCAAACTTCATGGGGATATGCGGTTGCAACAAGACCTCCTCTGCCCCCACAGAACTGCAGTTCCATCTGTGACTGTCATCTGCAGATAATACAGTAACTCTTCAAGCAGTCACTACTTTAGGGGCAGGTGGCAAGGGATGGGGAGGGTGGGTGGAGATTGGTAAAGACCTAACAAACACCTTTGATAAGAGAGATTAGGGACATCTCCAGAAATTAACTTGGAGAAAATGAGTTCCTATGGCTAAATCAGTTAAGATTATCAGGGTGTTTTATTAGGAAGTCAATATACGATGTTACTGCACAGTCCCTTACACAGACTACTTTGAAAATAATCACTTTAAACATAAAGCTGAGGGACAAAGAGAATGCAAAGTCATTCCAGGAGAAGGTGTTTGCGGTAGCAGCAGGAACTCTTGGGGGGGGGGGGGGGCGGGGAGGTGGTGCATCAAGGAAAAATAATGGTCGATCAAAAGCATTTTTAAAATCTAACGCCTTCCCTAATTTCAATCTCATCTACCTCCCTATGCCAGCCCTCAAAAATTAATGGTTATGTAATGTGACTGATTTTAAATCCAAGATACTACGTTATTAACATACTGTTACTCCTGGTGTTTAACTGGATTCTGTCATTAAAAATGAAAAGGATACCAAAGCAATAACCTAATTGTGAGAGAAGTGCACAGAAACATGGGCTTTCAGTTAAGTGGTTTTCAGGTAAAAAGTCAACACTGGCGATTTCTGAGGGGGCGAGCCTCAAGGTAGGAATAAGAAAGGGCAACTGTCATAATTCTTTATTCCAACTGATCACCTTAAATCCGTCCCCGAGGGTCACCCGCAAAGTATCCAGTGCAGTTCAGTGGGATATAGCAACCCCATCAGTCCTCTCCTAACTCCAGCTCACGTAGAGACGTTAAGGAGTCAGGTATCGCAGCGAATTCCGGATGCCGAGCCAACCTGCCCCACCCCACGGGCGCCAGTACCGCCCGGCAGGGGATCGGAGGAAAGGGCACGGCGGGGAAGGAGGGAGGGCACACAGGAAATACAGGGTAAGAGGGCGGGGGAGTCCGGAAGGCCAGAATCACCCCCAGAGGATCTTCCACCTTTTTACCCCTCCAAACGGCCCCATGAAAACCAGGGACTAGATTCGGGAAATGGGGCGGCTGCAGAAAGAAGACGGCAAGCTCGCAGCTGTAGCCCATCCCTGCCCATGGCTGCGGCGCACCCGCCTCGGGCGGTGGGGACCTTCTCGCTTCTGGCCGCCCCAATCCATCCGACTTACTTGTGTCAGTTACAAACCTGTCCAGTGTTTTCACCCAACAAATTAGCGAGTTTGAGGGAAACTCTAAAGGTCTCTCCCCTATTGATTCCTTTAATCTCATTTTGAAGAAGACAACCGAAGAACGCCGGCACCGGCCAGGCAACTCCGCGGCCAGCCCCGCCGTCAGGCCCCGCCCCGCTCTATCGGGGTCTTATTCGCTCTGGCTCCTTGCCCCCGTTTCGGGCTGTGTCAGGAACTTTCTGGAGCCCTCTGGGCTCAGAGGCGGGGACTGGCTCGTAGGAACACTCTTCAACAAACAAACTGCCCCACCCAAGTCTCCCTCCCCCGCCCCTCGCCCCCTGCCCCGCCGCCACCCTAGAACATCAAGCTTAGTCACGGCTCTACATTTAGTTTCCAGAAGATTCTTGCCAGCCTAGCCATAGTAGCGGGGCTCCCCCTCCCTTCCTCTGTTAACAACCGACCAGTCTGTGATAACGGGAAGGGGAGACGGTCCTGGGAGAAGCTGGAAGGGCTGGAAAGGTGGAAGTGTGGGTGTTGCGGGGGAAGCGGCAGGGCTGGGTGGGTAGGTGGTAGATAGGCGTGAGTCAGAAGCAACAGCCAGGAGGTGAGTCTGCGCAGGTCACACACCCCCATGGTGCACGTAGAGCCCTGGCATTCACTCTTTGCGGTCTTCCATGATTTCTATTCTTTTTTTTTATAGAGCGTGGAAAGATAGGTTTTATGTGCCAGCATTGAGAGGAGTCCAAAGTAGGAAGTATGCCGACATGTCGGTTCAGTCACCGGTTTTGTAATTACCTGTCTGGGTGATCTGGCCAAGCCATGAAACCTCTGAACCTTTGTGCTCATCTTTGAAAACAGAAAGGTTTGGCTGAAGGACTCTGCCTAAAAATCTTAAGATAGTTTTTATGGTAAACCGAAAGTATTACTATCATAGCCCTGGTAGTAATCCCCAACCTTGTAAGCACCTCAATAAGAAATGATTGAGAGATGAGACTCGAGAGAGCGTTACTCCAATAAAAGAAGGAAGGGCATGTTGAAAGAAATGGCAACCCACTCCAGTATTCTTGCCTGGAGAATCCCATGGACAGAGGAGCCTGGCAGGCTACGTCCATGGGGTCGCAAGAGTCAGACATGACTTAGCGACTAAACCACCGGAGAAAGACTACCCTCAATTTGGCAGCAAGTGACAACTGTCCTTAAAATTTCTTTTTTTCCCCTTGATAGAAAAAGAAAACACTTGGAAAATGAAAATAATAAATTTTCTATTCAAATGTTAAAAATAAAAAAGGAAGGGCAGAAACTTTTGAGTACTACTCTGTCACAGGCACTGAACTACAGTCTTTTAAATATTGTCTTTGTAATCCTTGATGGTAACATACTATGAAATAAATTTCAATTCTAATTTATACAGACTTGGGTAATTTAGTTAATTTACAAGTACTTCATTGTTAAGAAAGAAAGAAAAACAGCTTCAACAAGGAGATAGAGTCTAGATACAAATCCAGGTCTTCCCTTTGCTAGTTTTTTCCCCATGCTGCTGGAAATTAGCAGAGTTCCCAGACCTTTGCCGGGCTTCCCTGGTGGATCAGACGGTGAAGAATCTGCCCACAGTGCAAGAGACCTGGATTCTGTCCCTGAGTGGAGAAGATCCCCTGGAGAAGGGAATGGCGACCCACTCCAGTGTTCTTATGTGGAAAATCCCATGGACAGAGGAGCCTGGCGGCCTACAGTCCACGGGGTCACAAAGGAGTCAGACATGAACTGGGTGAGTAACGCTGTCAGGCCTTTGCCCTTTGAAGGTTAAAAATGCCTGGCTCGGGGCTCGCCTGGTGGCTCATCGGTAAAGAATCCGCCTACCAGTGCAGGAGACACAGGTTCTATTCCTGATCCAGGAAGATTCCCACATGTCCTCATGCCAAGGAGCAGCTAAGCCTGTGTGCCCCAACTATTGAGCACGTAGAGCCCATTCTCTGAAACGAGAAGCCACCACAATGAGAAGCCTGCTCACCCTCAACTCAACTCGAGAGTAGCCTCTGCTCACCACAACTAGAGAAAAGCCTCTGTAGCAGCAAAGATCTAGCATAGCCAAAAATAAAATTTTAAAATGCCTGGCTCTAAAAAAAAAAAAAAGCCTGGCTCTAGGTGCCACATTGTTCTCTTTTGCTTCTGTCTGAAAAACCTAGAATTATACTGTCTTTTAAAAACAAATAGACTTGAGAAAAACCATATTGGATGAAAAACTGTAGGAAAAAGGAGAGAGAACAAAAAAATATCCTGCAACTTCAGGGCGAGGAAGGCTCCCCCCGCCCCACCCACTTCCTGCCCTTGGCAGTCAGCATTCTTGGCAATCGTTCTCCCATCTCCAACCCTTAAATTTTACCCTGTCAGGCTTGGGCAACCTTAACCTTGATTCTTCCAAACACTAAACCCGATTTTAAAAAATTAATTCCAAAAAAAACACACCTAATTCCAAAATGCATCAAATAAAGTTGTGAAAAATCTCTTGGGATTCTTAAAATCTCCTTAGGCACCAATTAAACCTGTACCTGAGTTCCTGGTTTGGGAAGCATCCAGGGTGAAAGGAAGACACAATTCAAGAGACTCTCCTGGTAGGAAATGGAAAAGAAATACGGATATTTAGGTTTCCAGGTCATCCACAGAGAGAGACAACGCATAGCGTAGGTCAATACAGTGTGTAGCTGACTGCTTGATTCATGAAAAACAGTATTTTCGAGTGGCTCCCCCACTCCCTCACCCCAGCAACCGCAAGATTGAGGCCCAATCACCTTGTCTCCCTGTCCAGCAGTGGAGACAATGATGCCCTTTGCCTCAAGCCAATAGAGGAGGAGAATTGCAAATTTTGGAGAGGAGAGCGAATCCAGACTGCTGGTAGCAGCTGATGGTAAGGAAGCTTTCAGAGAGAGGGGATGAGGTTAAAGACTTCTCTGGAGGTGAACACTTCTGTGGAAGTGTTCACAAACTGGGTGGTTAAGATGGAAGTTTGGGGAATCCCCATTCACAGTCTGCATAAAGAGATGGAAAATTCCTGAAGTTTAACCAGTTTGACTAGATTAAGGAGGTGATTCATTAGAGAGCCACACCTGAATGTAAAAGAAGTTATCACCTACCTGCACAGTGAAAGATACAGATTTGTTAAAGCAATATTTTTATATCTGATTAACCTGAACAAATTATAGAATAAACAACTGAATACCCTCGGATTTCAGGAAGAGGTGTTTTTTTGTTTTTGTTTTTGTTTTTTTTAGTAAATCATAAATTTTATTTATTTATTTATTTTTTCACAACCATAGTGTATCTTTTTTTTTTTTTTTTTTTTTACATGTATTCCCCATCCCGGTCCCCCCTCCCAGGAAGAGGTGTTTTGATGGATGGCTGTGCGTGCACGCGCGCGCGTGTGTGTAAATGTCAGTTAAGCAAAAGTCTTCAAAAGCAAGATTTCTTCCCTTTATCAGAAATTGCCTCCTCAGGTATTTCCTGGTGGTCGAGAAGGGCTAAGACTGTGGAGGAGAATGCAGGCGGCCTGGGTTCGATCTCTGGTCAAGAAAATAGATCCCACATGCTACAACTAAGATTGACCATGCTGCAACTAAGGCTTAGCTATTAATTTTAAAACAACAACAACAAAACCCCACAACTGCCTCCTCCTATTTGTGCTGTTATGTTTTCTGTGCTCAAGAGGTGGATACAGTAATGAGTCTATTTCGTGGGTTGTGAATCCCCTCTACTATGCCTTTAATGTCCCTCACATTTTCACTTTAGGCGCCTAATAAGGGATCTTGCATTGCCCATAAAGGATGAAGAAACAAAAGCCAGAATAAATTACCAAATGTGACTGTATTTAAAACAGGAAGGAGGGTAACAACAGAAAGCTGAAATCTAAGATAAAAAGTTAAATGGACGAATTAAGTACACAGCAAACAACCTGAACTTTTAGAAGAGATAGAACCTAGGTCCCGACAACCTCTCTCACCTTCCAGCATCATTCCAGTTTGCTTAAAATGGGCCACCTGCCAACCAACTATATAGCATGCTTTTCAAACAGGACTGGACGCTCCCCCCACCCCTACTTCCCCCTCGCAGGCTCACCACTACACCACATTTACTTAAAAGTGGTGGACAGCCTAGGAGCCGCAAATGACAAGGCAGAAGACCGAATTCGGGACTCAGGTTAATCCGGGCACCACTGATCATCCGAGGCTGAACCAGGAATTTAAAAGGCACAGAGGAGGGGAGGGGGGGCGTCCGCACCCCGGGCTGGGAAAGATGAGGAATCCGGAGAAGCGCATAAGACAGCTAAATATCTTTGGAAAATAATTTTTCTCAAGCCCAGTCCAGCCCGAGGCGAAAGGGAGCGGCTCTGGGCGGGGACAGGGGCGCTGTGGCTCTAACCCGGCCCTTCCCACACCCCCGGACCGAGCAGGTCCCTTCTAAGGCATTGGGAACCTTCTACAATCTAAAACCTATATACCTAGTTGCTTTTCTTCTGAAATTAAAAATTACCCACCCATCTGAATAGGGCTAAAGAGGAGCCAAAACTTAAACAGTCGTATCTCTCTCCTTTTTCTTCCTATTTTAAAAAATAAGACGGGAAAAGCGCCGCGGATGACCAAGGCATTTCCCGGCCAGCACGGCCACTCGGCGAGCCAGCCCAAACGTGGCTGTTTCCATCAGCGTTAGCCTCCGATAATTCTCCTTGGTCCATGGCTGGCCAACCCTCTTCGATAAACTCGGGAACTTTCTGTATTTTGGTTGTCCCAGGAGTCGTGTAGCCTTTAATTCTACTTTAAACCACCAAACTAATTTGAGCCCCAAGAGCCTCTCACCGCCCTACAATTAATTACAAGCCGAGGGCTGAACCTTTCAGTCGACTCCAAACTTATTGGCTGGCTGGTCGCCAGGAAACCAGAGACCGAGTGGGTGGACCTTTCAGCCCCTCTCCCCTTCCCTTAGGATTCCTGTTTCAGCGAATCCTAGAAGAGTCTGGAGAGTTCTGGGAGGAGTGGCATCCAAGGCGCTGATTGGTCCCAGAAAGCCAGGGGGCAGGACTTGAGGCGAAACCCCTGGAATATTCCCGACCTGGCAGCCCCACTGAGCTCGGTCATTGGCTGAGGAGGGAAAAGGCGGGGCTTGATGAAGAATTATAAACACAGAGCTGCCTGAGAAAAAACAGCAGCCTGGAGAGAGCTGATAAAACTTGCGGCTTAGTCCGTGAGAACAGCTTCCGCAGACCCGCTGTCTCCAAGGACCTCCCCGAGCGGCACCGGCGCGTTCAGTTTTCGGGTTCCGAAAAGCCCGAGCTTCTCGTCGCGGATCCCGTCGGCCGTTTTCAGGTTTGAAGGTCATCTCGGAGCCGGAAAGGAAGGGCACCGGCATGGCGAAAAACACGGCCATCGGCATCGACCTGGGCACCACCTACTCCTGCGTGGGGGTGTTCCAGCACGGCAAGGTGGAGATCATCGCCAACGACCAGGGCAACCGCACCACCCCCAGCTACGTGGCCTTCACAGACACCGAGCGGCTCATCGGCGATGCGGCCAAGAACCAGGTGGCGCTGAACCCGCAGAACACCGTGTTCGACGCGAAGCGGCTGATCGGCCGCAAGTTCGGCGACCCGGTGGTGCAGTCGGACATGAAGCACTGGCCTTTCCGCGTGATCAACGACGGAGACAAGCCTAAGGTGCAGGTGAGCTACAAGGGGGAGACCAAAGCGTTCTACCCGGAGGAGATCTCGTCGATGGTGCTCACCAAGATGAAGGAGATCGCCGAGGCGTACCTGGGCCACCCGGTGACCAACGCGGTGATCACCGTGCCGGCCTACTTCAACGACTCGCAGCGGCAGGCCACCAAGGACGCGGGGGTGATCGCGGGGCTGAACGTGCTGAGGATCATCAACGAGCCCACGGCCGCCGCCATCGCCTACGGCCTGGACAGGACGGGCAAGGGGGAGCGCAACGTGCTCATCTTTGATCTCGGCGGGGGTACGTTCGACGTGTCCATCCTGACGATCGACGACGGCATCTTCGAGGTGAAGGCCACGGCCGGGGACACGCACCTGGGCGGGGAGGACTTCGACAACAGGCTGGTGAACCACTTCGTGGAGGAGTTCAAGAGGAAGCACAAGAAGGACATCAGCCAGAACAAGCGGGCCGTGAGGCGACTGCGCACGGCGTGCGAGCGGGCCAAGAGGACCTTGTCGTCCAGCACCCAGGCCAGCCTGGAGATCGACTCCCTGTTCGAGGGCATCGACTTCTACACGTCCATCACCAGGGCGCGGTTCGAGGAGCTGTGCTCCGACCTGTTCCGGAGCACCCTGGAGCCCGTGGAGAAGGCTCTGCGCGACGCCAAGCTGGACAAGGCGCAGATCCACGACCTGGTCCTGGTGGGGGGCTCCACCCGCATCCCCAAGGTGCAGAAGCTGCTGCAGGACTTCTTCAATGGGCGCGACCTCAACAAGAGCATCAACCCCGACGAGGCGGTGGCATACGGGGCGGCGGTGCAGGCGGCCATCCTGATGGGGGACAAGTCGGAGAACGTGCAGGACCTGCTGCTGCTGGACGTGGCTCCCCTGTCGCTGGGGCTGGAGACGGCCGGAGGCGTGATGACCGCTCTCATCAAGCGCAACTCCACCATCCCCACGAAGCAGACGCAGATCTTCACCACCTACTCGGACAACCAGCCGGGCGTGCTGATCCAGGTGTACGAAGGCGAGAGGGCCATGACGCGGGACAACAACCTGCTGGGGCGCTTCGAGCTGAGCGGCATCCCGCCGGCCCCCCGGGGGGTGCCCCAGATCGAGGTGACCTTCGACATCGACGCCAATGGCATCCTGAACGTCACGGCCACGGACAAGAGCACGGGCAAGGCCAACAAGATCACCATCACCAACGACAAGGGCCGGCTGAGCAAGGAGGAGATCGAGCGCATGGTGCAGGAGGCGGAGAAGTACAAGGCGGAGGACGAGGTCCAGCGCGAGAGGGTGTCTGCCAAGAACGCGCTGGAGTCGTACGCCTTCAACATGAAGAGCGCCGTGGAGGATGAGGGGCTGAAGGGCAAGATCAGCGAGGCGGACAAGAAGAAGGTGCTGGACAAGTGCCAGGAGGTGATCTCCTGGCTGGACGCCAACACCTTGGCGGAGAAGGATGAGTTTGAGCACAAGAGGAAGGAGTTGGAGCAGGTGTGTAACCCCATCATCAGCAGACTGTACCAGGGGGCGGGGGGCCCCGGGGCTGGCGGCTTTGGGGCTCAGGCCCCTAAAGGGGGTTCTGGGTCTGGCCCCACCATTGAGGAGGTGGATTAGGGGCCTTACTTTTTGTCTGTCTGTAGTAGACCCATGGACTTTGGTCTTTCCCTATATTTTAGTCCTGTGCTGTGTCAGTTTGTTCTATGATTAGGTTGTAACCTTTCAACTAGCTTGTTTTTGTTATTTTGTATGTTATAATGAGTGTGTTCACCAGAATTTTTGTGTTTCATGTAAGTTGGCACTTTAAGGATGGCTTTCCTTTTTTTTGTTTAAAGTGAGTCAACACTGCCACCCTGTGTCCTGTTTTTTGCTTTGTAAACACACGGAAAGTCATGGAATTAAAAATTTGTATACTTAAGGAATAAAAAGAAAATGATGAATACAGTTTATTTTTTTTCCGGACGTTTATTTTTATTTGGGGAGGGATAATGGCTTCTCTGAATGTCTGAATTCCATAGACCATGAAAGGGCAGTACTTCTGGAGTCTTATATATGTTAGGAGCCATGACTATAGCTATACTTTGTTGTGACTTTTTTGTAGGTGGTGAGTTATGTCCATGACAAAAAACAAACTCCAGGTGCCCCTTTTGATTTTGGTGGGGTTTGTTTTAGGGAAAAGTGGGGATGGGATTTGTGAAGGATTTTGGGGAGGAGAAATTAGTGTGGGTTTAAAGGCAGTGTTGAGAGAGGTTTATGGTTCCTCCCTCCCTCGTACTCATTCTGTGCAGAGCTATTCATATTTAACCTGTGAGTCTCCAGTCTTTTGTTTAAGGTAAGAATAAATTTAGGGGTGGACAAAAGAGTAAAAATGAGGTACAGTTTAAACTCAGTTTTATAAATCCCACCTGGGTGATCTAGTGTCAATTACTTAGCCTCTTAGTTTTGGTGGTCTCCTTTTAAAATAAAGCATTTGTCTGAATTGCCTCACTTCCAAAGTTCTAGATCATCAAGAGCAGAAATGTGCTGTGGGCTAGCATTGGCTTCACCTGTGGTCTTTGAAGCTGGAGTTTTCCAAGTGAGGGTTTTAGGGAAGTGAGTTTGGGGGCAAGGCAATAAAGAGGGATGGGCCAGGCACTGTACCTGGATCTTTGAGTCACCCCAGTAATTCTCAGTAATTCTCATCACATCATTCTCTACCCTAGGTATTCTGAAGCTTTTTTCAGAGGTTAGCATGTGGAGATAGTTACTTATGCTATCCAGGGCAAAACTAGGGAGAAACAAGTGATTTCAGGGCCAGGGTGTTTTTCTACTCTGCCTGAACACTGGGGTTGGCATTGTGTGGTTCCTGTCTGACTTCAAGTGGTGTTTTTACTCCAGTTTCAGATAAAAGAGTCTGCCTTCATGTAGGAGACCTGGGTTCAACCCCTGGGTCTGAAAGATCCCCTGGAGAAGGGAATGACAACCCACTTTAGTATTCTTGCCTGGAGAATTCACTGGACTGAGAAGCCTGGCGGGCTACAGTCCATGGAGTCACAAAGAGTCTGACAGGACTGAGTGACTAACACTTTTTCACTGACAGTAGACTTTTTGTACGTAATAGTACATTTAATTATGAAAAAGAAATAAAAGCTGTGTAGTGTAGTGCTGGGGAAATGGGCGTTCCTCCCACACAAGCCCTTCCCTAGGGGCTGCTTCTTACTGGAGCAGTTAAAAGTCCTTAACACTTTGTTGTATTAGTCACATCCAGACTCTCTTGCAGCCCTGTGGACTGTAGCTCAACAGGCTCCTCTGTCCGTTGGATTTTCCAGGCAAGAATACTGGAGTGGGTTGCCATTTCCTTCTCTAGGGGATCTTTTCCAACCCAGAGATCCAACCTGCATCTCCTGCATTGGCGGGTGGGTTCTTTACCACTGAGCCATCTGCGAAGCAACACTTTCTTTAGCCTGATTAGAATTCCAACCTCTTTCCTTCCAAAAACTGAGCCTGTGAATACCAACTCCAGAATCACACAACTTAAAGTTTCATGTTGTGTATTTTTCAATAAATCATTCCTCTCTGGGAAACCAAAACATTTTAGGAATGACAAAAGTGTGGGAAGCCTTGTTAAGGAAAAGATTGTAAACGTAAAAAAATATATACTTCTGGTTCCTGGACCAATTCTCAAAGGCTGGTCTTACTAACAAGATAGGTGAACTGTAATATGATATTGTATGCTCTGACCATAACTTTATAGTATGTGCAGTTTAACTGCTGCAGCAGCAGAAATTGGGGGCTTGCTTGTTTTTAAAAACTTAACCTGCCAGGTAATAGAATAAATCTTTAAAAGTAAACCCCCATCTTATTTATTTTTGGCTGCTCAGAGAAGCATGCAGGATCTTAGTTCCCTGGCCAGGGATTAAATCCTCACCCCATGCAGTGGAAGCATGGAGTCTTAACCACTGGACCGCCAGGGAAGTCCCTCAAATTTTAATTTCAAATCATTGGCGTTAGGGTTTGCAAAGGTAGTGATATATGGAGATTATTTGGGAGGCTAAAGAAATCCTGATATACACTCCCCACCCTGGCCACCCCTATAAGAGTCAGAGTCTTGGGAAATAGGCCAAGGCATTGTATAGCATTAAAGCCACCACGACGTTTCAGCCAAAGTTGAGAAAAACCACTGTACCAGAGGCTATTCCTGATTATTTTTTAGAGGTATGGGGACAAGAGAGAGGGAGGAGAGGAAGGTGTCAGTGTTTCCAGGAGCAGCAGCTGGTGGCAAGGGATATTCTGCTGTGAATCAAAGCTGGAAAGGCCTTAAAATGTTGATTCACTGGCAGCAATAGTAATGCTAAACTTTAGGGAAATTGCCACCAACAGCTTAATGGGCCAAAGAAGAGAATTTCTGAAGCTGGGTCAATTAATTTCATGAGTCCTCACTTAGGGAAATAGTTCATTAGAAAGCAACATCAGGGCATTTCCTGGCCCTCCAGCGGTTAGGACTCAGCTTTCACTGCCAGGGCCTGGTTTGATCCCTGGTGGAAGTAAAATCCTGCAAGCAGTGAGGCTTGGCCAAAGTACACAGAACTTAAAAAGACATGAGCCATGGAGGAGTACCCTTGCTCAGGAGCCTTGCCCATGGAGAACTGTGGATGATTGCGGTGGGCACACGCTCACCCCAGTCTTTTTGCATGGTGCTCTGAGTATTTTAAGCCCATTTTGAAATGCCTTGAGCCACCCATAGGTGGAGCCACTTCCCAGGACAAGGGGCAGAGCCCTCTCCGGAGACATAAGGGCTGAAGGATTTGGAGTCGCAGAGAGTTCTCTAATAATGGCTTGTGGGATGAAGAAGAAGAAAAAAAAAAAAACTTGAAAAAGAGGGAAATGGGGAGTAATTGTTCACAAGTACAGAGTTTCAGTTGTGCAAGAGGAAAAAATTGTGGATGCAGCCACCCCCTACAACGGTGCACCCCTTGTAGAATAAGGTTGGGGAAACACAGGATACTAGCCCCAGATGGCTGAGGAATTACTTTTACAAGACCAGACTTTTGCATCTTCCCATACACAGAAAAAGAGTAAATTCATTGACTTGAGATGTCTGATTTTTCTTTAATTAAGTTAATTTTTTAAAGTTCTGACTACACGGTCTTTGTTGCAAAAACCCTATATAGCCTGGCTGCTCCACTTCTTCGGAGCTGAGAGGCTGCAACCTGAGCTAAAGTCTTAAGTGTTTGTTTTGTGTGTGTGTGTGTTTGTTTTTTTAACATTTAATTGGAAGATAATTGCTTCACAATGTTGTGTTTGCCGTAAGTATACATATATCCTTTCCTTCTTGAACCTCTCTCCCACCCCTATACTCTCATCCCACCCCTTCAGGTCCTCAGGGAGCATCAGGTTGAGCTCCCTGGGGTACAGGGCAACTTCCCACTAGCTGTCTATTTCACACATGATGGCCTACCTATTTCAAGGTCCTCAGTTTTGCCTGCAGAATAAAACAGAATTCACAACTTTCAGGTTGTGCTGCCCTGCCCACCCACCCACCCAGCACCCCCCACCCCCGCCGTAGATAAAATTATACCTTAATCCAACCAGTCCATCCTAAAAGTGATCAGTCCTGGGTGTTCATTGGAAGGACTGATGTTGAAGCTGAAACTCCGATACTTTGGCCACCTGATGCGAAGAGCTGACTCATTGGAAAAGACCCTGATGCTGGGAAAGACTGAGGGCAGGAGGAGAAGGAGACGGCAGAGGATGAGATGGTTGGATGGCATCGTCGACTCGATAGACATGGGTTTGGGTGGACTCTGGGAGCTGGTGATGGACAGGGAGGCCTGGCGTGCTGCTGTTCATGGGGTCGCAAAGAGTCGGACACGACTGAGCGACTGAACTGAACTGAAAGCTGTTTATAAAAAAAGGGCCAGAAATAATGTGCCTGACAGGTCTGTGGGCTGGAAGGGGAGGGGGGTGGGGTTGCCAATTCAGATTTCGATGCCTAGAGACAGCGGGATGACAGTCCCTTGGAGTAACACCAATGCCTTGCTGGGACACGTGACAACTAAAGACAAGGCTTCAGGTTACACATGCTGGGACTGGACCTCCTGGGAGGCCATCCAGGAAGTGTGCACCCCCCGGGCAGCGCTGGGGACTTTCTCCGGCCTGGCCAGTCAGGTCACCTGTTCTTTGTATTTAAAAAGTCACAAAACGTCTCCGAATATTTGCCCAGAAGAATGTGAAATATTCGCTCGTGGCCTCTCTTTCACATTGCTTTCGTCTTGTGTGGACGACTGATGAGGAACATTCTGCGGGTCGAGACAGGCATCTCAGAAGACAGCCATGCCCGTCAGGTCCCGAAGCCGCGCCGCCGTAAATAAATAGCCCTGGCCCCGCCCGTGCAGTTCTCTTTGTGCGGCGAATTCGCGCGGAGTAAAGATGGTCCTCAGGCGGTTGGCCTGTCGCCTGCTGCGGAATCTTCCCCAGACCAGGGGGAGGCTGCAGCCTGCGCCGTCTTTGCACAGCTACCGGCGTGCAGGTACCTCGGGAACACGTTGAGTGGGGGAACCGCAGTCTCGGGCTGAGCGGGATGAATTATTAATACAGACTAGAGTTTCTGATATCTCTGTGACGCCACTGCTTGGAACTGACCCAGCCCAGGGCACGGGGGACTCGTCTGGAGTCGCCCTGGTCTCTCCTGACTAACTGCTGTCTTTCCAGGCTCCTGATTCTCGAAGGAGGGTCCGAGGCACCACGAGGGTGAGTGGATTGTGCGAGCTGGAGTGGCTGGCGGTTTCCCTGGGGGAGGATGGGGGTGATGATGACTCCAGGTGATTCTGAGTGTCTCGCTGACGCCATCACCGCAGCGCGCTGACCACCTCCACGGCGCCCCCCGCCACCCGTGCTGGGATCTTTGGTATTTGGTTGCGGCGAGAAGTTACTGTTCAAGAACTGTTACTGATCTCGTATTCCTGTGTCTCATTTCTCCATCAGGAGTTAAAACGTCCACCGGTGTGTTATTCTTAAAAGAGGGGTAAGTATTAGCTGTGCTGCTATCTGTCTCTTCACAGGTTATCTTTTTTTAACTCTTCGAACTTTTTTCCTCAACCTTGCTAAACCTGCTTCCTCCACCCCTTTTTCTAGTATGAGTTACTCTACATAAGGTGCTTTCTTTTTTTTTTTATAAGGTGCTTTCTTGATGGAGATATTTCTGCAGTTTAAATTTGTTTTCTGCCTTTCTCTCCTGAACTTTATATCGCTGAACTCGTAATTTGACAAATCCTTATATTGGGGCTGTCATCTCTGAATGTTCTAGATTCTAATGCTTTCCTTGATCCAGATCTCTCTAAATTGGGAATGATGATTTCTCAGACTAGAGTCTCTGATACTGGTCTTGATGTCAAAATTAATTTCTGACTCGTTTGGGAGAACTGGATACTTGGATATTTGAAAAGAGCTGGTGGGAAGGCTGGGACTGTTTTTCTCAGTTGGTTGTCCTGCTTTCATCTTTTTTCTAGCCTGAGAGCTTTGGAAGCCCAGCCAGGGCAGAACCTCTTCACAGAGATTCCAGGCTAGCCTGGTGACTGAAGGCCTAAAGTTTGGAATTCTCTTGGAGAAGCACTTTTGGGGTGGCTGGGATGTCCAGATGATGGTTCCTGCCACTTCAGCAACAGGCTGTGACAAGAAGTGGAGAGCAAGATGCCTTCTACCGGGGTACTATGGTAAGTCTTTTCCTGGTTTTTCTCTCAGCTCCAGAGTGGTGATGATGAACTGGTTGGACTAGAGTCTCTGAATGGTTCTCTGAGGATCTTTGAAACCACCTGATCCACTCTTGCTTCTTTCCTTCTTGTGTGGCAGTTTTCTTTAAAAAGTAAAATTGGTATATAGTTATATTAGTTTCAGATATATGGTGTAGTAAATAATTGGGTATCTATGTATACTAGAAGGTGATTACTGCTGCAGGTCCTTTTTGGCTAATCACTGTTCTCTCTGATAGTTTATACCAGTCTGTCCCTTGTATCTATAACAGCTTGATGCTCTAATGCCAGCTACTTGGATTTTTTTTTTTTTTTGCATGTTTTTAATATGTATTTCTTTTATGAAGTTTTAGGATTTTGCTGATGCAGAGGATGTCCCCTACCTGGTGTTGGTCAGATCCTTGAAACTTCACATGTTTCCTGAGTGAACCTGTGTGAGCAGCTGTCAAACTCCGGTGGAGAGGGGGTGGGCTGCCTATAAATTTGGGGACCAAAATCAATTAGGTGATCTTTATTAGAAAGGTTGCAATAAAATGTTTTAAAGCAAATAAAAATAGGTGGGTCTGAGTAAAAGCAAGAGGGTACAGAAAGATTTAGGGATGTGAAAGTGAATGAGCATCACAATTGACATCTAATTGTAGCTCTTTCCAGGTACATTACAAAAAACTAAAATTAGGTTTGTCACATATTGACACCAATGTTGAGGATTTCTAGATGGAGTACCATAACATTTTTAATATTTGAGGTTTTAATTATACTATTAACACAGTCATCCAGTTTTCTTTTTGATGAATTGGTGAAAACATAGGTTGTCTGGATATATTTTTAGAAGAATAATACTCCTGGTGGTTGTCAGGAGCTGGGAATGAGGAAGTGAAGAAATACTTAATGGGTATTGTTTCAGTTTTACAAGGTGAAAGAGTTCATGGGGATGGATGGTGGTGATAATTGCTCAATGTTATGAACATTGTTATTACCACTGAATAATAAAGACCTGTATAGCACAGGAAATTAAGTCCTCTGTAATAGCCTATAAGAGAAGAGGATCCCAAAGTGTTTGTATGTATAACTGATTCAGTTTACTGTATACCTAAAACTAACATTGTAAATCAACTATACCCCAATAAAATTTTTTTAATGGTAAACATGGTAATTTTATGTGTATTTCACCACAGTTTAAAAAATTGGAGAGAAAGTACCCTTTGCTTCTTTTTGTCACTGTCATAAAGGTGATTCCCCACTAGCATGTACAGAGTATGCTGCTCTAGAGCTGTATTATAAATTTGTTTGGTAGGGGGCATTTGAGTTTCTTTCAAGCTATAAACCAGTCTGATTCCCTGTTTGTACCCATTTGAAGTTTCAGAGTCAAAGGATGTGGGCTTTTAAAAGTAATAGTGTATGTTCCATAAAATTGTCCCACTTTATTTTTTTAATGTTAATTTACTTAACTGTGCCAGTTAAGTTGAAGCATCCAGGGTCTTCAGTTGTGGCATGTGGGATCTAGTTCCCTGACCACAGGGATTGAACCTGTGTCCCCAGCTTTAAGAGTAGAGCCTCAGCCACTGGACCACCCGGGGACCCTCGTCCCGACTTATACTCAAAATGACAATCTCCTTCAGACTGCCTGTTTGTTTATATCTACCATCACTATTCTAACTGGAGTGTACCAGTTTCTGTATCTAATAATTCATGTTTTAAAAATTGCACATCTTTTGCATTTTTCTACGGAACATTTACAGCTTGGTCCCCACTCAGCAAAGATTTTTTTCCAACTTATTTTCCTTAGTCACTGCCAGTTTTTTTTCCTCCTTGAAATTGCCTTGTTAGGTACTACTACGGGGCAAGGTCACCTGCTCCCATTGTTATTCTCTGACCTTGGGTTCTTTGTAATCTTCAGTTCAGTTCAGTCGCTCAGTCATGACCTGCAGCACGCCAGGCCTCCCTGTCCATCACCAACTCCCGGAGTCTACCCAAACCCATGTCCATTGAGTTGGTGATGCCATCCAATCATCTCAACCTCTGTTATCCCCTTTTCCTCCTGCCCTCAATCTTTCCCAGCATCAGGGTCTTTTCAAATGAGTCAGCTCTTTGCATCAGGTGGCCAAAGTATCGGAGTTTCATCTTCAACATAAGTCCTTCCAGTGAACATCCAGGACTGATCTTTAGGATCTCAGGAGTCCTACAACACCACAATTCAAAAGCATCAATTCTTCAGCGCTCAGCTTTCTTTATAGTCCAACTTCCACATCCATACATGACCACTGGAAAAACCATAGTCTTGACTAGACAGACCTTTGTTGGCAAAGTAATGTCTCTGCTTTTTTATTATTTTTTTTTTGTGTGTGTGTGTGTGTGTGTCTCTGCTTTTTAATATGTTGTCTAGGTTGGTCATAACTTCCCTTCCAAGGAGTAAGCGTCTCAATTTCATGGCTGCAATCACCATCTGCAATGATTTTGGAGCCCCAAAAAATATAGTCAGCCACTGTTTCCACTGTTTCCCCACCTATTTACCATGAAGTGATGGGACCAGATGCCATGATCTTAGTTTTCTGAATGTTGAGCTTTAAGCCAACTTTTTCACTCTCCTTTTTCACTTTCATCAAGAGTCTCTTTAGTTCTTCACTTTCTGCCATAAGGGTGGTGTCATCTGCCTATCTGAGGTTATTGATATTTCTCCTGGCAATCTTGATTCCAGCTTGTGCTTCCTCCAGCCCAGCGTTTCTTATGATGTACTCTTGCATATAAGTTAAATAAGCAAGGTGACAATATACAGCCTTGACATACTCCTTTTGCTATTTGGAACCAGTCTGTTGTCCCATGTCCAGTCTGAACTGTTGCTTCCTGACCTGCAAACAGGTTTCTCAAGAGGCAGGTCAGGTGGTCTGATAGCAGCTATCATGTGTTTAGTTCTTCTGTCTGTGCAACGCTGTGTTTCACTTCACTGAGTTCTTAAAACCTTGCAAAGTAGATACTTATCTACCTGGTTAGCAGGTAAAGAGAGGAATGCTCAGGGATATTAAGTAATTTGCTTAAGGTCACAGACAGGTATTGTTGTAGGAGATAGATGGGCATCTGGGCTGGACAGCTGGTATTCATCAAGTGGAGTAAAATTGAAGCTTTGTTCTCACCCAGACACTCTGAGGACAAAGCTAGTGACAGAAGCTGAGCTGGAAAAAAAAAAAAAAGCTGAGCTGAGTTCTGCTAAAATAAAGACTTAAGATGACCACTCCTGAGGTCAAGGAAAACTCTCCTGTCTGCACGTTCTCAGGACGTTTCCTTTAGGGTCAAAAAAGGAGGGATGCCGCCCCATGATAAGCTCAGATATCCCTCCACAGGACTCTGCAGTGGACTCCACCTTGGCAAAAAGTTGCACACATCTTGGGGAGGGTCTTAGGGACTAGTCAGGTGTGAAAAAAGATAACTGGACAAGTGTAAACAAAGACCCAGAACTGTCCTATATGTGTATTTAATTTTTACTGCACTCCTCAGAGAGGATACCCATCTGTCTTTCTACCTTGAAAGTGAAAATGTTGCTGAATCATGTCTGACTTTTTGACTCCATAGACTAGCCCGCCAGGTTCCTCTCTCCATGGAATTCTCCAGGCAAGAATACTGGAGTGAGTAGCCATTCCCTTCTGCAGGGGATCTTCCCAACCCAGACATTGAATCTCTCCCCTTATGGGCAGATTTCAGTCTGAGTCACCAGGGAAACCCTGCTTTCTGCTTTACTTCCATCTTAAATAAACTTTTTTTCTCTGTGTGCTCCCTCACTTGTGCTGTGTACCTACTAAAAATGAGGTATATTCTTTTCAACACAGTGTTTCCACTTCTGGTAACACACCCTAAACACAGTCACACAGATTAATGTACATGAATCCTTGATGTTACTAATTGTAAGGGGGGAGAAAAAAGAAACTCAAGTGTTCTCCAGTAGGGAAATGGTGGTATAGTCATACAATATATACATGCAGCAGTAGTACGCCTAACATACCAGTGTGGATTAATCTCACAATGTAAAGGAAAAAAGCAAATCACAGAAAAATAGTATGTAATGTGAAAACATCACTAAATAATACATTGTCTAAAGGTCCTACTGTGTAGCACAGGAACTATATTCAATATCCTGTGATAAATCTAATGAGAAAGACTATGAAAAGGAATGTGTGTGTATACTACATATGTATGTATAGCTGAATTACTTCACTGTATAGCAGAAATTAACATTGTAAATAAATTTAAAATATATGTATTGTTTGGTGTTAAGTATCATAATAAAAACAAAAAGAAATGCATAGGATTGTTAAATGCTAAATTCAAGGTGGGGTGGGTATGGAGAGATGTATTCAAGGAAGTGTACAGAGGGTCTATGGGAGCTCATTGTGCAATTCATATTTTTGTATGTCCAAACTACTTAATAACTTAAATGTGGTTTGGAACCTGTGAATCTCAGAGGGCTGAACACAGGCAAAAGCTTAAGTCAGCCCCAGGGATACCTCCAGACAGGGAGCTCCCTTGGAAGACAACTGTTCGCAAGATGAGCCAAAATAAAAAACACCCTCAGGAGAACAAATCAGCAGGTGACTTTACAACCAAGAAACTCAGATGGGGAGCATGCTTGGAGACTAAAGCTGTTCAAAGAGATAAAGAGGCTCATTCAATCCATTGATAGAGAATTAGTAATGTGGAAGAATCATCCATAATGTGGAGTAGAGAAAACAGAAATGAATAACATGAAAAGGAGTTGATAGGAAAGATGAAATGAGCCACTCCAGCATTTGGCATTGTTTGCTTAGAGCTACTCTCACCGTGCTGGTTTGTTTTAATGCTCGAGCGAGAACAATTGCAGGTACAATGGTTAGTTCTGTCCAGTGGCATCTGTGGGCATTTGGCTTTCAGCAGGTCAGGGCCATCTGTTTCTTTCTTTCTTTCTTTTTAAATTTATTTACTTAATTTATTTGGCTGCACCGGGTCTTAGTCACGGCATGTGGGATCTAGTTCCCTGACTAGGGAACTAGTCTTAGCCACTAGATCACCAGGGATGTCCCTGTTTCTTTGTTTATTGTACTTTCTTGACCATTAACGTCATACGTTCCCGAAATAGTCTTGCAATTGTGTTATTTCCCAAAGAATAGGGACAAAGAGATTATCCTAAGGGTTAAAGTAGCTGCTGACTCTTAAAGTGTTAAATTTTATTGGCCCCTGTCATATGACTCTCAGATGAGAATAGATCACATTCCAAGGCTGTTTATTGCCTGTCATTAAACCATCAACTTCTAAATATAGTGGCGATAGAGATGTCAGCCAGTTATCAAACACAGTTACGTGCTGATAAATAACCACAGAGGGAGCTGTCTTTAAAAGGCCATGCAACAATGTCGGATACCACGCAGGACCCAGAGCCTCCCATTTCCCAGCAGCATGCAGGGAGAGGCTGAGTTCCACACTGGGTTGATTGCTTCTATAGTTGCTTTTTCTTTCTTTTCTTTTTTTTTTTTTTTAATGTTTGGCTGCATCATGTCTTAGTTGAGACATGTGGGATCTTTACTCTGGCACTCAGGCTTAGGTGCCCCGTAGCATGTGAGATCTTAGTTCCCTGACCAGACCACGGATCGAACCTGCAACCTCTGCACTGCAAGGCAGACTACTGGACCACCAGGGAAGTCCTGATTTCTTCTAAAAGAAGCTGAGCAACGTTATAACCTCCTTTTAAAAGAGGCTGATTGCTTCTTACATTTCTTTTATTAGGAAACTTTTAAAACAGTAGGAAGAATATAAATACCCACATACCCACCACCTAATCCAATACTGCAACATTTTCCCTTATTTGAAAATAAGGCAAATGGCAAATATATATATAGAATTATATATGTGTGTATATATATACATACACACATACAAAATATATATGTTTAGCTGGTGCATTTCAATGTGAATTATAGAGATCAAGGCATTTTATGCTTAAATATTTCAGCATGCATACCCAAAATCTAAGGACATTTGCTTGCAATATGATTATGCCTGAGAAAATTAATAATTCCTAATATTACTTAATGGGCTTCTCAGATGGCTCAGTGGTAAAGAATCCACCTGTCGATGCATGAGATCCAGGTTTGATCCGTGGGTCGGGAAGATCCTCTGGAGAAGGAAATGGCAACCCACTCCAGTATTCTTCCCTGGGAAATCCCATGGACAGAGGAGCCTTTCAGGCTACAGTACATGGGGTCTCAAAAGGGTCAGACATGACTTAGCAACTAAACAACAACAACAATATTACTTAATACTTAATCAATATTCAAAGTTTTTCAACGGTTCCCAAAATATTTTTTTATGGTAATTGTTCTTTCAAGGGCCAGTATTCTTGAGTCAAGGAACAAGCACTTTATTTTACTGTTAGATCTTGTTAGTCTCTTTATTCTAGAACAGTCCCCTTCTTTCTGTGACAATGATCCTTTGAAGAGACTTGGGCAGTTGTTTTGTAGGATATTCCACATGTTGGTTTCATCGAACTGTACTCTCATGGTGTTTTTAACTTGTTCCTCAAGTTTCTGCTTTTTTTTAACCTAGAAATTACTCTTAAAGGCCTAATTAGATTTCTTTTCTTTTTTTTTTTTGGCTGCACTGGGTGGCTTGTGGGATCTTATTAATAGTTCCCCAACTAGGGATTGAACCACTGGACCACCAGGGAATTCCCATAAAGGCCTAATTAGATTCTGATTACATGGTATGGGTAAGAATACTTCATGAATGACACCAGGTATCAGTTTCCTATGGGTGCTATAACAAATTAATACAAACTTGATGGTTTTAAAAAAACAGATATTTCTTGCTTCACAATTCTGGGAGCCAGAAGTTCAAAACAAAAAAATCAAGGTGTCCACAGGGCCTGGCCCACTCCAGAGACACAAGGGAAATATCTGTTCCTCCAGCTTTTGGCGGCTGCTGGCATAACTTGACTTGTGGCCAATGTGGAGTCCCATCCCAAGGTCACAAGTGTGAGGTCTTGCACCAAGGCCATAGAATTGGAGCCCAGAACCAAGGTCACCTCTGAAACTGACTGAGCCCCTTTATAAGCTTCCTGACCCCAGTTAAGCAAAAATGCCCACCCTGGCAGTCACTCTACAGCACCCTAACCCATTACCTAATGCCACTCTTCCAGCAGGAATTTTGTTCGGAAACTATAAAAATTGGCTTCTAACTCACGAAACTTGTCAGCTCTCCCTTGAGCCAGCCCACTGTTCTAACAGCATCCCATTGACTCTCCCTGGTCTGTTAGGAGATCGGCCTGCTGTGCTCTCAGCATTCTCATCTTTGCTCTTTGTTCTTAATAAACTCACTCCCTTCTGAAATGCTCTGTGTCTGGAAATTCCAACC